TGTCTTTGTGCTGCCTGCAGAGAAGCTGGCACTTGCGAACTTGCCTTCCAACATTTCCAGGCGCTTGCGCATATCGGCATAGTTGTTCCCCACCTCTTTCACGGATGTCTCGAGTGCACAATGCCGTGTAGTCATCACGTCAAAGAGGTCGGTAGATCTGGTGACATGTTCTTGGAGTTGTGCTTCCACTTGCCCAACTCTGGTCCCCAATCCGTCAAGCCCTTGCTGGAGGCAGGATGTGATGGTCTGTTGATTGGCCAGGAGGGCTTGTTCGAGAAGCGCCAAGGTAAGTGGTTGGTTGCCAGGGTCCCCCTCAGGTGTGCCTTCTTGTTCTCGAGCACGCTTTGCCTGTCCAGCTGAATTCACTGGGGAGCCTGCGGCGGGCGCTTCCCCCTGTTGTCTGCTTCCTGCATTCTGCTCGGCGTTGGAGGACATGACGATCTTTGCTCTCTCGCCCCCGATCAAGTAGTTCGCAGTCAAGTAATAGGCGATGTCCCTCGCCCAGCGATGGAGTACTTAGTCTCCCAGCGATGGTCTTCCGGAGGGTCGTGTTGTTGGTCGCGTCCCCCTGTAGGCTCGCCGATCACGTGCAAGAGGCTGTTGTGCTCGCTCCGAATGGTCAGGGCAAGGCCACCGTTGTGGAACAATCTGCACGAGGTCCCCCTTTGCAACTTCGAAGAGGAAGACGCAAAGGTCAACACAGTTGTAGAAGTGCTCGCAGGTATGTGCGCACGGTTCTCTCAGCTACGGCTCGCGCCGGGTTTGCAGGTCCTGTGGCTCTCTCTCAGTGGGGCTCGGACCTTGAGCACTCGCGGCTTGAGCCAAAATGGCTACTCCCTCTCTCTCTCTCTCTCTCTCTCTCTCTCTCTCTCTCTCTCCCAGGCATTCGAAACGTCAAGCCCGGCTGCAGGACACAAATGGTCCCACGTGACACATTAACCCCCAAAACTCTAAACCCCAAAATCCCAAAGCCAGCGGAGAGCCTGTGAGGCTGCTGGGGGCTCCACAGCCGGCGCCTCAATCCGGTAGTCTGTGGTAGTCTGGAACTTCGGGCTTGGTTGTTTTCCCTCCTACCTACTCGGAGGGGCAGGGGACTTAGTAAGTAGGTTATATGTAGACTTATAAGTACCCTACATGGAGTTACCTCAATTCTAACCCTACTCATTACCTACTTACTAAGTCGCCTGCCCCTCCAAGCAGCAAGGGTTTAGGGTTTAGGGCTTCGGGCCTGTCTCTCGGGCAATCCAGGCGAGGTTCAGGGTTTTAGAGAGGTCGTTCAAAAGGGCTTTGGGGCTAAGGTTCAAGTTTCGGGGTTTGAGTTGAGGGTGGAGGGTTTGAGGTTTGACACTCACACTCGGACAAAGCCTGGCTGAGGTTTAGGGTTGGCATATATGCTTCGAACGTGATTGTTCGATCAAAGTGTGACAGAATGACACCAAGAACTCTGGAAATCCTGAAGGAAGCTCCCCCTGGTGGATGCTCCTGCGGTTCGGCTTAGGGTTTAAGGTTTAGGGGGTTAGGGCTTAGGGTTCAGGGCTTTAGGGTTTAGGGGTTTAGGGTCCAGCTGTGGGGGCTTCCTTCTTTTGAGGGCGAAGAGCTTTTGGGCTGCAGTTCTATTCTGTCGGTGGCGAGTCCAGAGCTGCGTTTTGAAGATTGCACAGTTCATATCATGTCATGGCTGTTCGGACAAAGGGCTGAAGGGGAAAGCCAGATAGCTGGGGTTCCTGTGTAGTACTAACAGTATGTTGGCACTGCTGAGGGCCTTTAGAAATAATTTTAAATTGCATTAAGGAACCCTGACGCACTTTCATACTTATTCCCCGATAGTGTGCAGCAGAGCTGCCAGCATGTCCGGTGTGAAGAATAGAGAGTCCCACTCTTGGTTTTGCCGCCTCGGAACAGAATGGCAATTAGGTGCAGGGGGCTTGCAATGGTTCGGATCTTGGGCATTCCGTGCAGCTGCAACTCTAGCTTGGAGCTTTAACAGTCTAGAGTTTAGGGGTTTAGGGTTCAGGGGTTTAGGGTTTAGGGGCTCGGTTGCCCTAACCTACGAGGGCTTCTCTTAGTGTCTCTTGCACCTTGTCGGGAAGCTCGGCCGGAAACCCTCCAGTCAAAGCTAACATGCTTTGAGGCCCTAGAGCCTACATAGCACAAACCCCAGGTCCTTTAACTGCTCCTCGCCGCCCAGGATTGCACAGAAATCAGCAACAAGACTTGCTGGGGCTAAACCCCAAACCATCATCAGGTGTAGCTGCCAAGTTTAGCCCATAGCAGCCTTAGCAACCACTGGAGAGACCGATCTTCAACAACTTAGCTCCAAACCTAAACCCTGAAACATAACTATGTTATGGAGGCGCCTTGAAGATTTGGAACAGGGTTCCGGTGAAACTATACTGTACAGCAATATGTAAGATACATGAAGTAAGGAACCCTAAAGACTTTTGCTGCTAGTTATTCAGGCTTCTGTATTATACACGGTTTGGTGCTGTTATTGGTTTAGATTCTTAAATGATTCTTCTGCTCAAGGCTGTCCTGTTCAGACTCCGAGGCGTGGGCAAAGCTCTCATAAAGTCTCGGGCAAACCCTTTTCCTAAACCCGACAGCCCAAACCACATCATCTTCGCCATGCTATGTCAGGCAAAAAACCCAATCCTCGCATAGCATACAGTCCTGTATATGTATATACATATACATATATATATATATAGATGTATAGACACACTAAATGTATGTACATACACATGCAAACACTTCTTTGCCTTTGCATGTAACTATCTACACACACATACATACGTACATACATACATGAATGGATGTATGCATACATGCATACATACATATATCCATCCATACATCCGTCCGTCCATGCATCCATGCATGCATGCATGCACAGATACATGCACCACTCGAATCATAGTCTATGTGTACATGATATCTATGTGTGTAAACATGAGACCAGTATGTGAATGAATACATATATATGTTTATGTGTACACATTTCTCTCTCACTCTCTCTCTCCTCTCTCTCTCTCTTCTCTCTCTCTCTCTCTCTCTCCTCCTGGCTCTTGCTCTCTTTCTCTCCCTCTCTGCCCCACTCTCTCTCTCCCTCTCTCCCTCTGTCGCTCTCTCGCCCCTCTGTGTCTCTGTCTCTGTCTTTGTCTCTCTCTCCCTCTCTCCTTCTCTCTCTCTCGCTCTCTCTCTCTCTCTGTCTCTGTCTCGTGTCTGCTTGCCTGCTTGCCTGCCAATAAAACAGCGGAATCCCATGCAGTTTATATGGACCCTATCACTACAACCGACACGATAACATCCTGCCACACTTTTCCAGGAGTGGAGAAAGACCGCATGAAAAGCGTCCCAGATGTTGGGAGGCAAGGCAGGGCGGTGATTTCAGCCGCGAGGTCGGAATTCGCCGGTGCTTCCCGGGTTTCGACTGTAGACTATGGGGTTGGGCAGAGGGATGGATGCTGGAAGGTGCTGTAGGGCTTTCGGAGACACTTCCTGGTCCCAGTCATCCAAGGCACTGGGCGTACATGATCGGACAGCTGCCCGGAAACCAGTGTGTCTCTGTGACCGTGGGACTTCTGGGTTACCCCTAATTCAAAACTGCACATCTGTATCCCCGTTGCGTCCAAAGTAGATACCGTCCGCCCGACCCAGCAGCTGAGGTGCAAGATCATTCCTACACAAATGCAAAACTCTCTCACTGGCCGCGTCAGTGGCGCTTTCTAGAGCCACCTGCTTCAAACGTCAGGGCTCCCCATCCACCTCGCTTCCCTGCTCCTTACTTCCATCAAATCATTCCAAAAACCACAGCGGTGCGAGGAGAAGTGTGCTCCCCACGTAGGCAACACGAGCAACTGCAAGGGATATCATGCTCCGTCTCGGACGCATTACATGAAGAAGACTCTAGTAACTCCACAAAGCCCGAGCCCCAAATCCAGCACCCATCGTTTATCCCTCAATCTACATTCCTACAGTCCTATGGCACCAGACTCAAGCCTCTCGCATACAGCACACTGCAACCATCCTTTCGGTTTATCATTCAGAGTTCAAGAAATTAGCGTCCGATAGTTAGGCGTACAAGGACTCCTCCTATGCTCGGGGGCTTGAGGCGGAAGAACTGCAGCACGTAAGAGGGCTTGGGTCCAGGATGCAGGGAAGCACCGCCAATGCATCTGCGTGGGGCACACCCCTGGCTCAAACACCGATACAACCCTCGCCTGCCAAAAGAGGGACCTAAACCCCCAACACAAGTAACCTCCTTGGCCGTGACTCAGTAAATCTTCGAACTCTCGCAAGGCTTCATCATTCGTGGCTAGTAATGGTATATACTCATGACTCCGATGATGTTGGCTAAGTCCGGAGGGTATGCTGGCAATCATGGCACCATGCAGTATAAGGCAGTTTCGATTCTGCGAGTTGCTGGCTTCGCGACAAAAAACCCTTGAACTCCCAAGGAAAGACCTTTCGCAGCCCTCAACTTCTCCACCCTGCACTCTAGCAGGACCGAGCCTGGCCTGGAAGCTAGTGGCCAAGAACTTCGACACAGAATCGATACTTGCCTCACTTTCCAGGCCGGGGGATCCCTGTGTTCTGGATTTGCGACAGGGGTGGGTGGTCTGGTTCCAGGCATGCCAACAACTGCAAAGAATATTACCTTGTGTTGCTGGCAGGCCCCTGAAACACATGCGAAGAAAGCAATCAAGAGTCTCACAATACAGAAGAACATCCGAACGGGTCTCAATCTTTTCCAAACCTCCAGCACAGCTCGTAATTGACTGGTCAATTTAGGGCGAAGGAGAAAGGAGCAAGAACTCCTTGCACGGACTTTGGCAGAAGTTTCCCCTTCGAAATTCCCTTCCTGAGCAGACAACTCCTCCGCATCACCTGACGGTTCTTGATAAAGTGCTCTCTGCACACTGAGGAAGGGCCGAACAAAAATCCGAAACCCTAAACCACGCTCTAAACGCCGCTTTTCTGGGTTGCCGAAGCACAGCTTTTCAGCCAGACTTGGCGGCGCTGATGGCGTCGACGATGTCCTCCAAGCGATCGTCAAGGAGATCCGGTGTAGGGGCTCAGATCTTGCTGATCAATGTTGTTTTTGCCATCATTGCAAATTCTGCTGTATTGCGGCGATGCCCTCTACGATAGACATGTGCAATATACTATATGCCATAAGCCGCTACTAGCGTTCTTGCCAAATCTCGGTCTTCTCGCTACCCTGCTAGGAGAGCCTTCGAACGTGCCGGCTTTTTCTTGCCTACAAAACCACAACAGGAGGTGCCTGACGCAGAAAACCCGGTTGTTGGTGCTTCTGCTTCTGTTCTCCAAAGGATCCGAAAGTCAGGTCTGATGAGCCTCGTGCAAGAACCCGCGATGAGAAAGCCCTCCATGCCAAACGCCAAGCTAGAAACCGGCCTGAAACTGCGCACAAAACAAGCGACAGTCTCAACACTTGCTCACGATACTTGCCTGAATCGCTGCCCGAACAGGAAAGACAGCTATTCCGACCCCTATGTTAATCCTAGGCAGGACTTTTACACACCAGTCTTGAGGAACCCTTTCGAGAACCCTAAACCCTAGATCATGCTTGAGGATTTTTTCAAGAAGCCTAAACCATAAACCACCCTTTGAGATTTTTCAGGAAGCCTCAGCCCTAAACCATTTTTGAGGCTTTTTGCAGGAGCCCTAAACCCTAAATTTCCCTAAATGGTTCCTGGTGCCTTTTTTCAGGAACTCTAAGCGCTAAATGGTTTTTGGTGCCTTTGTCCTGATGCTTTACCCAGAGGCCCCTTTTTGGAGTTACCCTACAGGATCCTATATATGAACCCCAAAAAGGAACTACTTTGGGGCCCTTGGGTATCGAATATTCCGACCCAAAACCTCCGAAGAACGGTGTCCTTGAACTCCGGCTTCCTGGCAACAGTGGCCATTTTGGACTTCAAGTATGTCTATTAAAGTCTAGTATTAGTATTATTAATACTACTAATATTGTTAAGTAATTACTTACTATTGTTATAATTATTGTTGTTATTGTTAGTATTAAACGGGTGTGCTGGAGGTTTGGGGCTTAGGATTTTACTTTTGAGATAGGAGTTGAGATGTTTCGACGCTCACTCTCGCACAAGCAGGGGCTTAGGGTTTACTTCAGGGTTCAGGGTATTGGGTCGAAGGTCAGCCTGTTTCGCCTGGAGATGCGCGATCACCCATTGTCTCAGTTGTCTCCAAGAGTTTCTGGGCCAATCGAGTTTCGACAGCCCCGTGGGCACCAACTTGTCTAGATTATTCTTCGTCAGCTGAAGCATCTGTCTGTCAAGACTTGCGCCTGCACGTGCCCTGTCCGAAACCCTTGGAAATTCTGCCCAGCTCGCACTTTTGCGCATTTCGCACCCCACCCCCCCTCGTGACGCTTCAGAATGTGGCAGACTGTACGTACCAATAGCTTCAGAAGGTTGCGAAGATTCTTGGGGCAGGGATTCCTTAATATGAACCCTATATTATGGGAACCCTAACCCCTACTAAACCGTGCTGCAAACCATTAAACTGCGCGGGACTTGGCAGCTCGGACTGCGGAGCTGCAGCCGAAGAGCTATAGCAACCTAGCCTGGTACCTAAACTGCACATACTGCCACGTATTCCCAGAAATAACAAACATCACAATATACAAGCAACAATTACTACAAAAACTGCTATAACAATAATCTCAAGACTAGCAATAGAAAATAGTAGCACTTGCACTAGAAAATGGGTTAACAACACAAACAGTAACAAGCAAACATCAACAACAACGAAAAGTGTGACAACAAAGGATGGGAAAAATACCACATCAGTTTATAACAGTCATACTCAGAATAAAGCCTACAAAAAATGATAATGCTAATCATGAAATGGCGGTAATGATGATAGTAATGGTAGGACTACTGCTGGTCATCAAGGCAATGCCATTGATACTCGTAGTAATGATGCCAGGAATGATGGTCGCAGGAGCACTTGCAATAAGCATAACCACCAAAAAACATACTGGCCATAATGAAAACAATAAACATAAAAGCAAAATAGAAACGACAAGAAGACTAACAATGACAGTACGAATGCTACCCGTTACAAAGACAAGCAATACTAGAAATCATAACAAACATGCAGAAACGAACATGCATAACCATCGTAAGAATGCGACAATTCACAGGAGTAGCAATATCACAGTAACACTAACAATAGCAAAAGCAAGTATAGAACAACAACTAATGGTATCAGATAAGACAGATAAGAAAATAGCCGTCGAGGTGCAGGGATGCCCCGCCAACCAGGAACCCATCGATGTCAGGGCACGCAGACAGCTCAGGAGCGTTCCTTGCAGATCGGGTTAAGGCTTGATAATGTCGGGGCTTCAGGGGTTCTAGGGCTTCGGTGTTCTAGGGTCTGAGGTTGAGTGTTCCAGGGTTTTGCGTTCAGGGCTTTATAGAATCTTCCGTGCTGCATGGCAAGGACTCGAATTTGGGCATGAATGACCCGGTGTGGCAAATGACGGCACGAAGAATTATCATCGCTGCACCCAGAAAAGCCCTGAAGGTTGATAGCGGCTGGATGGTTGTAAGGAACCGTCCGAAGATAGAAGTCATCGCTGTCCCGTTGCTTCGCGGGTCTAGGCTACGGCGGTGTCACGATGGTTAAAGATCACGAAACTTAGCAGGCAGGTAAGAAGCAAGGTCAGTAGTATGATAACCCAACCGGATTTGGAATCCTTGGCGGTGTGCTCTGCCAATGTTCACAATGGCGGTAGAACCATCAGGCAACTCTCGTGAACCGTCAGTGGCGGGAACCATGTTCAGGAAAAGCCCCAACCAGTCAGAAAACCGTTCCGAACAGCCGGAGCTGTTCTGAAACGCTCTTAATTAAGGAATATACCTTAAATTATAGTAGGATCCCTTATATGATTTAAGGTATATTCCTTAATTAAGGGATATTGGAGTTTCTGGGTTAAATCTGCAAGGTGTCCTTGGAGGACCGGACGGGCCTTGAGATTAGCATGATGGTTCATGGTTCCTGAAAGCACTGCAGCGAGAACAGCAACACTATGCCAAACAAACCACCGGCTACTATAAGAAAGGGTACTCATAACCTTGCAGTCAAGTTGCTAAGTCCCTTCATCCTCTAACTATATGAGACGTTTGTTCATGCGAGACCGAGGATGCCACCATTGGCCCACTATGCGAAGTAAGCTCCTCCTGAATCCCACCAAGCACTCAATATGCATCAATACAAGCAAGATATTCCAGTGCCTCAGCCCAGCACTCAAAGAAGTTGCAGCTGCGTCGCTTGGCATTGGCGGAGCCGCCATACTGGATGCGGATGCCAGCCGCGCATTCCTGCAACGGCAGGTTGAGCACTTTTCGGAAACAAGTAGCATTATGCCTCGGAGCGCACGGTTTGACTCGGTGCAGTTGTTCGTCCTGACTATCCTGACTGACTTGGTGTCCGAACCCGAAAAGCGAGAGCAGCACGATAAGCCCGACAGCAGTGGCAGCTGCAGCTCGGCTCTACTTGGAGGTTCATGGGTAGTTAGAAGTGGGGTTATAAGTAGGATAACTATACTTATAACCCACATTCAGGGACTTATAACCCCACCTATAACTACCCATGAACCTCCAAGTAGTTGCAGCTGCTAAGGCCGCGCTACTCATGACTGCCCAAAGCCTCCAAAATCCCTTCATTAAGGAATATACCATTAAATCGTATTAGGGATCCTATTTTGATCAATGGTATATTCCTTAATTAAGGGGTTTTGGAGGCTCTGACTGTGGCCTCTCTGGTGACTGTTGGTCTGAGCTTCGGACGTAGGCTTGGCCTCTTTACCCTTGGGTTCCTTATGTGGGTGGTTGTCAAAATTACGGCGCCTTATGAGGTACCCTAAATATAAGGTGCCGTACCATAATACGGACCCAAAAAGGGGACCCTAATTTTGACAACCACCCATATGAATCCTACTACTAGGGGGTTATAGGACCAGGGTTTCTTAATCAGGTTCCTACATCATTCCTTTAACTCCACACAGTACGCGTAAAAGGGCTTCGGCATTATCAATCTGCTATTCTACTTGGCTAGAACACTCTGCGAAACCGCTGCGTAACAGTCGGCAAGACCAGCTCCCCCGAAGCCAACTAACTCGATGGGACAGTGGAGACCAGGAATTGGCGAAAAGTACATAGAACAGAAGCCCCGTAAACCCGAAAAACCTAAACAATGACACGTAGTGATTCTCTCACCCGACCAGAAACTTGGCCTAAACCTTTCACTTCGCAACCCTAAAACCCCGAAGCCCTTGAACACTTCTCCGAAACCTTGCGCTCTCGACAATTCCATCATATGCCTCCCCGGCTCGAGCATGATATGACGGGGAGAAGGGGTGCGGAGGGGCAAATATCGATACATCTAGTATGACGAAGCTCCTACCGTGCCGGGCCCCCCAAAACTTCCAAGTCGACAACCGTCGAACCTAAAGCCTATATCTCTAAACTAAGCTTACCCTAAGCCCTAACCGTAACTTAACCTAGCCCCTAGGGGCCCATCCCTTCGGAAGAGCCGAGGCTTTTGTCCTCGCTGACATTCTTGGCGATCCACTTGCGGATCTCTGCGTGGGTCTCCTGGGCCTGAACAATTCAAGTTTTTCTCTCCTAGCAAGGACAGGCCCGCAGTGCAGGGCAACTCAAAGCATAAGCAAGCACAGATCCAGGCGACAATTCGGTCTTGCAACTGCTACAGTTACAGTGAACCCCAGAAAGTTGGAACATGGTTTTAGGATGATTCGTGCTAGGATTCCCTCTACTTTACCTTAATGGAAGGAGTGAGGATAACGATGTTCCAACTTTCTGGCTTCTACTGTACATGAGAGCGAGGACCAAATCCCACCACTGCGGTCAAGAACAACCTGGTTCCAACATCGACACGCAGTCTCATGTCCTGTACACACGTGGGTTAGGGTTCACCGGGCCCCCGCGGCCAGGATTTGGGGTTTCGACTCTACTGTTCAGAATGGAGTTCTGAGGCAAATATACCTTACCAGTCTACAAGGACTTGTAAGGGAGAACTGGCACTAATTCTTCGCATCCTGTCTCGCACAGATTCAGATAGCCTTTGCATGCCACCTTCATGCTCACGTGATGAGATTGGCATTCTCACACCTTTCTTTACCTGTTGCCTTTTGCATCCGGTCTGCAGCTGAAGCGATCTGTCGGAAAGAGGTGCAACTCAACACTCGCACTGCCAAATTATGGCCTGCGCTGCTGTCGCCGTCACCCCCGTGCCAATGGCCCAGACGGGCTCGTAGGCAATGACGACCTGCGACGGTGTTCAAGCTACATGTCCAAGCACAACTACACGTACATATCTGTTTATGCATGTGCACTATCTTTGAAGGGTGTGTGCATGCGTGTGTGTATACATTGTATATATAGATGTGCAAATGTCTGTTTGTGTGGATGTAAAGACATAAACACATATATGCATATGCATGTATATATACATATATGTATAAGGGTATAGTATCTTTAAGAGTTATTTGTCGCTCATATGTCTGTACTTTAACTATGTAGCTGTGTATGTATGTTTCCATGTACCTATGTATGTATGTCCGTATGTACAAACCTATGTGTGTAACATGCACCTCTGCATACATATATATATATATATATATATATATATATACATATACACACGTGTGAATGCGTATGGCATATACAGACAAAACTCTACGTGTATGTGTATACGTATACATAACCTTGTGAGAAAATATTGTGTATATATGTAATATAGATGTACTCACGGGCCTGCTCTGCGACGCTTTCTGTATGAATGAATGTATCTTTATCCCTCTATATATACAGAGGCATACACACATGCCAGTATAGCTATAGGTTTATTCAAACACTCATCTACTTATGTTCAGTTCGGTGTACTTTTTTGACTTTTTGACTGATTGCAGATATCAACCCATGTGCTGGGCAAGTTGCTTGGCTGCTTCTGTGGTTCCTGGCCCGATCGCTCGCTTTCTCTGTCCCTCTCTCTGCCTCTCTGTCCCCCTCTCTCTCTCTCTCTCTGTCTCTCTCTCTCTCTCTCTCTCTCTCTCTCTCTCTCTCTCTCTCCGTCTCTGTCTCTCTCTGTCTCTCTGTCTCTCTCTCTCCCTCTCTGTGTCTCGCTTTCTCTCTCTCTCTCTCTCTCTCTCTCTGTCTCTGTCTCTCTCTCTTGCTGCACGCCTCTGTTGCATGCAAGCAAACACACACTCATGTATATGTTAACGTGTGTATATATGTATATATTTAAGATACGAGTACGCGTGCATGCACACATGTTTCGGAATCATATAACAGGTGTGTCGGAGAGTACAGTCATATGTGTTTCTGCATTTGCCCTCGTGCATCTGCATGCACACAAACGCGCAAGGATCCATATACATACACATGAGTGTGTATATCTCACCGTATGTATATATATATATATAATGTATGTAAGCATGTTTGTATGTAAGTATTTTGATCTGTTTGTGAGTGTACATGAGAATCTGAGAGAAAGACATAATCAATGATCAGCATGAACGAATGAACACATGAGTACATGTACAAACAAATGCACGTATGTTTGTATGTACGTATGTATGTATGTCGTTCTGTAAGTACGTACATAAAGCGGCGAAAATGAAGGCTTCGGATGGATGGCTGAAGTTTGAGAATGTTGGTGCGCAGCATGCTAACCACCAAACTCCTGAACCCAAAGCCCCTAAACTCTAAACCCTCTCGTTGTAACCTCAGCTGAGAAAATGCGGCAGGGCTGTTGCAGCCAGCGCTGGGGCTCCAATCAATGTAGCTAATAAAGGGACCTTGAAAATGAGAATAAGATAGAATAGTAGGATTCTACTTAGAAAAGGGTCCTTACAAGCTTAAGTACGTGTACCAGGCCTGAAAAATCTGGTAGTCAGGTTCCCTTCTTTGAAATTCCAGCTTGAGGCATGAGATCCCGCCCTGGGAGAAACAGAAAACCTTGAGCTGCCTTTGATGGGTCCAGGAGCCCCTTCACCATCTCGAGCTGCCTTGCTTGCTTGAAGAGACTCCAATATCCCTTAACCAAGGAATACTCCTTCAATCATATTAGGGATCCTACTAACCAAGGAATATTCCTTAAATCATATTAGGGATCCTACTATAGTTTAGGGAAGATGTGGTGTAAACCTTGAGCCACCAAACCCTGAACGTCCTCACCGCTCAACCCACTCTCTCTCTCTCTCTCTCTTAGACTCGGGTTCGACAGCTGCACATATCCAGGTCAGCACGGACTTGAAGTGATGACCCGATACCATTCGAAACCACTGTCAACGCCTGAAGCCCGAACATCCCATGCCCAGTAGGAATCTCGAGTCAGCTGCTGCAAAGCCAGGATCTCACCGTCTCACCCGTCTTTGGCTGGGATACTGGCTTAGGGTTTTCGTGGGACGCCAGCACATACTCCCAGTCGTTACCCAACCGAGACCAAAAATCCAACACACCCGAGCCCGTGTTGCATAGTAGCCTTGGTCCGCCGTTCCTAGAAAAGCCATCTGCCAAACTGCCTAGCATTCGTGTGATTGCGCGTCTATGCCTAAGTGGGTTGGGATGTGCTCGCGCACATGTGCACATTACATATATGCATGCATACATACACGACCTACGTGCGCAGACCTACCCATCTACAGTGGCGCACCTGGACCTAGTGATTCCACGGACTCCTCTGTAAGACCTGGACGCAGCTGAAAGCCTCGGGCAGGTCGTGGAAACCCTGATCGGAACAGGAACAGAAAACAAAAAGCCTTCCAAGCGGACCCCGGGAAAAACCACGGATGGAAACAAACAGTGGGCCTTGAAGAGAGAACACCCGACTCCCTAAATGTAAGTAGGGTTTAACTTTAGGTGGGGTTCAGGTTTCGGCATTGAAGTTTCGTGTCCGGAAACCGATACCTTCGCCATCCCACTGCAGGGGAGCCGGCTCAATGCACACCGCCATGGTAGACTCCAGGCCCTTCCTGGGGCATTTCAGGGTACTTTGGTGTTTCGGGTGTTGAGCTGGTTTGACACTTGCGGTTGCCAGTTACAAACTTCCAAAACAAGTGCTGATGCAAGGCTTAGAATAGACATGAAGCTCCCGATTGCAGAGTGCACCGGTGCCACTTTGTCGTGTAGAGTGTCCGGTCACGGGAGGGTTTCGCAGGATTTAAAGCTTGGAAAAGGTGTCGATTCCAGTCCTCTGGCTACCCATCCCCGAGCAAGCTCGGTTTCATGTGAAACTGCACTTGTCTTTAAGGTCAGGTCAGCAGATGACCGAAGTCATCCTGCAGCTGTTGATTTGCCCCTTGGTTCCTGAAGCTTTGGGTCCGGATATACTCTCCCAAATAGCTACATAATTACTATCCTAAACCTATTGGGGCTTTTGGCTCCAGGTTGTCGTATGTGTCGGAGCTGGCAGCCGAATCCTCGCAAACTACCCGGGAGCTTGCAGAGGGTGTTTTTGTTGAAGGCCTTTTTAATTTTTCCTCCGCCTTGGTTAGTTACGGTTAGTTGATTGGAATCCGCACTTGTGGAAGGCCTGCAACCTTTCAGCCTGCTTGCAGAGGGTTTCGGGTTTAGGGCAGGGAGCTAGACAGAGTGTAGCACGGAGAACGAAGGGATAACATCCACGACACGTCGGGGTTTAAGTTACCAGTTCCGGCCTACGTAAGCAAGTAGTTCCCAGCAGGGTGGCTGATACAAAGACGCGGAATAGGAAGGGAGGGCTCTACACCGGATCCATAAACAGGTTCTATGACGCTGCTATATGGCGCATTTCACTACATTATTCCATTCCACGAAAACATATAATCGTAGCTTCTAAAGCACTTATGCTTTACTAAGTACTATATCTATATAGCGGTGAACAAACAAACACCACAAGTGAAGTAGGTCAATATCTGGGCGGTTAGCATATATCTCGGGCCATAACTATTTTTGCACACGTTCTGAACTAAGAGATGTGAACCAATACCCTACACCCTAACCCCTCAACCGTAAACTGTAAACCCTATACCTAAGCCCTCTTTTGGCCCGGGGTCTCGCGCTCAGGCAGCTTCTCGCCGATGGCGTAGACGCACTTCATGCCGGAATCCAGGATGAGCTTCCTGGGGTTTCAGTTGCCCGAAACTCTAAGGCAGAAGTGAACCTAAACCCAAACTCTGAGGCAGAAGTAGCCCTAAACTCTGAGCCGGGCAGTGAAGGGCTCAGGGCTCCTGTGACATACATACATATATATATATATATATGTATACATATATATATATATATATGGAGTTCTCAAGCGGTTAAGGGGTTACGGGGGTTTGGTTTTCACTACCTGTAGGGCTTTGGGCAGGATGAGCTTCCTTGGCTGCAAGTGGCTGTGTTCTGCGCCGTTAGGGCTGAGGGGAGCTGAGGGGGGCCCAAGGGCCTTGAGATAAGGGTCTAAGAATAATTTAAGGACTAAACAAGAAACAGGAGTTGGGTTTGGTGGAAGGGTTCATTCAAAGACGTTAGGGTCAACGACGGCATCTGCTTGGTGGCAGTTTCGACGCTCACACTCGCACAAGGCAGGCAATTCTCCACACGATGGTGGCAGTTTAGGGGTTGGAGCGGTAAGGGGTTGAGCGCTCGGCCCCAAACCTCAGGCCCTAGACTCTTTTGAGGGCTCAAGGTTTGGAAGTGTGACATGTCAAAGTCCTACTAAACTCCAAACCCTTAACCCTACACCATTTTGACACTGGGCTTGCTGGACACCCTAAACCCTTAACACCCTTCTTTGCATCCAGGCCTAACCTTAACCGCCCTAAACCCCTTTCAGCATGGGCTTGGATTGCGTGCCCGCATTCCCTTTTTCAGCATGGGCTTGGATTGTAAGCCAGCGAACACTCCTCAACAGCAGGGCCTTCTCGTTTGCCAGCGATCCCTAAAACCCTAAGCTGGTGCTTCCGTGAGGCATCTTCTCTGCCAGGAGTTCGTTCGACTCCTTCGCCGTAGCTGCAACTAACCGTATGGCGCTTCCGGGAACTTCCCACCATGGCTTTAAAACAAAGAACCAACATTACTACTATCATTCGCGGTACTGTTATCATTATACTACTACGGTGGTTCGTGGTTGTAGCAGTGTAAATATGAACATGAACAGTGACACTTACTAGCATTAGCAGCAATATTCACATTGTGTTTTCTTGTTTCGATTCTTTATTGACATTATTCTTAGTATGATTTGTAAAACAGTCACTGTTATCATCACGGCAGATTGCTGATAAGCATTCACCAAACCCCTCCTCTCCGACACCGCCGATCAATGGTAGTCTGAGAGCTTGGGATTGTATGACTCACGGTTCAGGGTTTACGATCTTTTAGTTGTTGGAGGTTTAGGAAGAACTGTCCCCCAAATCTCTCGACACACTATGATACTATGTCAGAGACTGTTCGACCCGTTTTAATCATCCCTACAACAGCCTTATAAAAGCTTTAACCCATATCGAACTCAAGAGAAGAAAGAATCCCATGAACGCCTCGTGAGTAAACACCGTGTGCGAAACCTTGCAAGCCCTGTCACAACCATTTTCAAATCCTGAAAGAGCCAAGCCGAACAATACAAAACCCCATAGTTAATATAAAGACCCCCCAAACCCTAGACCCCCCCCCCCCCAAAAAAAAAAAAGACAACAAACTATAAACAGCCTTGAAGTACTCGCGGCGCTCGGAGTGGCCGATCAGCACCCACTCGATCTTCAGGTCCTTTTCAAGGGGCCTAATGTAGGGGCCTTAATAGTTAGAATAGGACACCTGCGGTTTATTGGGGGTATATTATACTATAACTATAATAAGGAACTCCAAAATAGTATAGGTAACTATTTAGGCCCCTATATTTCGTCCTGTGGGGTTTCTAGAAGGTGGGTGCTGTAAAGGGAGTAATTAGCTATACGGGGTTCCGATAAGGGGACCTGTAGTCCTATAGCCGATCGGTAGGGGTTTCTTGTTTAGGGCTCCTATACTTGGTTCATGGGTCGTTATAGGTGTGGTTAGAAGCCTCCTAATCTGGGTTATAACTATAGTTACCCTAATCATGACCCCAGTTATAACTTCCTTTGTACCTCCAAGTAAGCGCTGCGGCGCTAGCAACACGGACGATACAGACGAGGCATGCGTCCACGGGTCGGCTGGTGAAATTGCAGGGTTTTCGGCTTACGATTCCGATAAGGGCTCCTCTAAGGGATCTTTCAAGGTGATTCTCAGGGGATTTATAGATTTCATCAGCCAGGACCTGGTGCCCATGCATCGACTACTCACAGTCTAGGTTGCTTAAGCCTCAGCAAAACCGAGTTCAGCGTCCAGGAAAGGGAGCGGGTGCTAATATAGAGGCCTTAATAATTCGAACGGGGTTTTGGGGCACATTATACTACATTTATAATGAGTACACCCCATACACTCCAAAATAGTATTGGTAATTATTGAGGCCCCTATAGTATGGGAGGCATCAGACCTTCGAATCTGTTGTGCCCCTCAACGGCTGGAGCCTTCGCAGCGCAAGATGTGTTCCCCTGCCCTTGCAGTTAGTATATCTATTAATTTAGGCTCTATGCCATTTCAAGCAACACGGTGCTACAGTGCTACGTCGGGGACCAAAAGGCCCAGGCAAAACATGCCGAACCATGTTTATCTGAAGCTCTATTGGTCGAAACAAGGGCAGTTACGAGCTCGACTTGTGGGCTAGATGCCATGGTGTCTGATGGTGCTGCCAGGTCCCTTGTGCCACCCGGGTCTTCTTTGCAACCCCAAAACGAACGGCTGTAAACACAACCCAGAGCCACAAACACCAAGCTATGGCCCTTTTCAAGGGCTATGCTACTTTGCCCTGAGTTCTCACACCTTCATCTGCTCGACTGCGACCTCACCGGTGTAGGCCTAAGCTCCGAGGATGGACCAGACGTAGGACGCCAAATGGTTTCGGGGTGGGGTTTAGGTTTAGGGGTGGGGGGGTTTTCCCACCCGCCCATCTGCGGCTTAGGGTTTAGTTTCGAGTTTAGGGGTGTAGCTGGAGCACCAAAAGCCGCCCAACCTGGTTGTTTTAGACAGCATCTTCGAACAGTGTTGTGGCTTGCTCGATCCTTCGACACTGAACTAGGACTATCTTGAAGCCAGTAGTGACTCAATAGTAATGGTTTTCAGCTTTACAGGAGGCCGATCTTGGGCAACCGCCACATGCAGCGGCTAGACCTATCATGACCCCCTTTGGGTTTAGGGTTGAGATAGGGTTTAGACTTTAGGGACTACAGTCGCATAGCCAAAGACCTGAACATAATATCTGAACCTTGAAAGAGACCCAACAGATCCTTCAAGAGTCCACTATGACCCAGAATCAAGAAATCCTTCTCCCCTCAGGAGCATCCTCCGAGCATCTTTCAACGATAGCTCAAGCCTTTCATATAGCGTAGGGCTGAAGTTTTGCCCTGAAATTCTGGGATTGAAGCTATCATAAGACCGACACATCCGACATTTTGACCTCAAAGATCTCACCCAACACCCTAAACCCTGAATCCGCACACCCCGAGCCCAAACATTACATCCGACTTAGACTTTGAAGCGTCGGGCTCCCTTAACCCTAAACCCAAGGGGCTCCGCAGCCCTTGAAGTTGCAGTTCTGCGGGCAGACGTTGATCCCCGCCTGGGAGGCAGCTCTCCCAGCATTTTGTGTAGGGGCCTTAAATAACCACCCATAGCTGATGGAATAGGGCTCGGGCATTGTGGTCCAGCAGCTATGGTACAAGTAAATAGGGACTACAACGGAATATCGGAATATGTCTCATGCTGAGAAGAGGGCCTAGGGTTTCGGCGCTCACATCCGGACAAGCCAGGCGAGGTTATTCCAGGGTTCAGCAGACGTCAGACAGCTGGGGTGTTTCGGGTGTCAAGCTTGTTGTAGGACTCTGCTGGAAGCTTCTTTGCAAAACACGAAACCTCAAATTCAAACCCTTCATCCCAACTCCCTTGGCAAACCTTTTTCGAAACTGGACTTGATGACTGCCAGCACTGCCTCCTCTGCCCTTCTTCAGACTTCAGCCGAGGCCCGAAAAAGCTAGCACACTATCACTCCACTCTCAAGGACGGCACTCCACGTAACGACCACCGAATGTTGAGTAAACCCTAAACCCTGAACCCTTAAAGCAACTCTAATACTAGCCGTCAGAATGATAGGAATCCTTATGGCAGCCCTTATATTCAACCGATACAGTAAGATAAGATAGCCCTCATACTAAACCTAACAGTGACCCTTCGACCCATATCGCGGCCCTCATGAAATTAATAATTAGTGACCCCTTACAGTACCCCTTGAATCGAACCCGGCACTCAAAGAAAAGCGCCCTGCCTTGACCTTGGAGCAGACGTAGGCCACGTGGAGAGGAGAGGGGCAAACATAGATGTCGCACTTGCTGGCGTCGCAGGCGTTCCTAGAGTTTACGCTGTGGGGTATGGGGCTTGAGGGTTTGAGGGTTGACTGAATTTGGGGTCTGGTTCAGAAGACATGCTACAGACAGGCCTGACAGAGGGTCTCGATTGCAACATGTGAACATGCATGCATTCACTCACAGTAGTCTTACGTGCATACACCTGTGCTCAGGGCTGTCTGCAGAAGAAATGGGAGTTTCCGAAAATTAGGGGTACCTTATTTGGGGGTCCTTATTATAGGATCCTACCATTTAGGGTACTATATTAGGGGCCCCTATTTTCGGAAACTCCCAAATCCAGATGCTGACCGAATGGCATGTTCTCCACGAGGCCATCCTGAAAAAGTTCAGATGGGCAGTTGCAGGATAGCTGCAACACTACACTTCTGCGGCTCATTTGGCTCAGGTTGTCGGGAGGATTGCACAGGGCTAGGGCCCGAGTCTAGTCTGCAAAAGGGCTGAAAGGGCCGGAAGAGCCAACCGGCACTATGATCATGATGATAAGTATGACAACTCTGCCAGCTGTCCACCACAGCAGCACCAGCAGCAGCAACAACAGCAACGGCAACGGCAGCGACCATCAAAAAAAAAGTCGACCACCATGAATGACGGCAAAGGGGACAGCAACAGCAACCGATCAAATCAAACATTCATCCACTTAATCGAACCAAGCAGTCAAATCAATCAATCAATCAATCAATCAAGCAAGCAAGCAAGCAAGCAAGCAATCAAGCAAGCAATCATGCATGAATGAGTTTAATCCACTTCAGGTGGTTTCGCTCATTCAACCAACCAGTGCATTGAGTTCAACTCAACCCAATTTCTCTGCTCAGCTCAGTTCAGTTATCCAGCGATCTAAAAGCCCATCAACCAATCCGTCCCTCCATGCATCCATCCATCCCTCCCTCCATCCCTCCATCCCCTCCATCCATCCATTCATTAGCCAATCAATCAACCAACCCAGCAACCAATCAATCAGTCATATCATACCACTCAACCAACAACCAACAAGCAGCAACCACCAACGAGCAACAAAATCCGTAGAAGCAGGAGTGGCAAGAGCAGAAGGAGAGAGACAGCACACATGATGACCACGCAGCCACCGCCATTGCCAACTCATCTTCGGAGGAAGACTTCTCAAACCTTCTTCTAGACCGAACTCTCGGCTGCCGCCGGGCATCCAGTTTGGCCATGCTCTCCGGGTTGCATTTCCAGTTTCCACCCACGATCGGTCGGCGGGCCATGGCGATGTGGTTGGGCAAAGGCAGAAGGAGCGCTTGGGGAGTATTTCTGTGCCAAAAGCTGCCACGCCCCGAACGTTTTCGCCCTGCCAAGGCTCTAATCCCATGAGATTCAGCAGGCCTTCGATACTCAACGAAGGCCCAAGAACCCCGGGAAAGAGAGCTCGCGGAGGCAAATGTCACACAGTAAGCTCTGACACAGGTCATACATGGGCTCCTGCAGATGAGTTCTTTAGATAGAGGAAACCTTCACAATGCCGAACCCCAAGAAGTAAGGTTCTCATGGACCCTGCAAGAAGGTCTTTTTGCTTAGAATACGGTTTGGAGTATGGGGCATGTGCTACTGTAAGGAACCCCAATGAAAAAAGCATGGTGTTCCTTTCAGCCCCGCATATTCCCCCGTACTTCGAAACGCCCCCCTACTAGGCCCTATATGCCCTGAAGGGCAGAAGTTTGAGAAGCGATCTTCGGGCTTGGCATCGGAACCTTCCCCAGAACCCTCAAATAATCTCAAATATCCGGGACTTAATTAGAAGAGGGCTGTTGAGGATATCAGTATGTGAAGGACTACAAGGGAACAGTGCTTAAAAATGATGCAAGCTTCTATGCTAAGCTCAGCTCAAGAGTACCGTCTTCAGAATTCATGAAGGTAACTGCCAAAGACCACGAGTCCAAAAACCAAACAAAGGGGATGACTTTGATGCAGAAGGCGGAAAGCACCAGCACCTCGAAGCCCGGAGCTCCTACAGCAGCAATACTGTCATCGCCGCCAAAATGCAAATCTTCCAAACCATCGGAACCACCTTACCTCATCTTTACCCTCAATTTGCAAAGCCTGTACTCGCTGTTTCCCATCCAGAAGCGAAGCCATAAGCACCCCCGAAAGCTGTGAAAGGTCTCCCCTGAGGCCCCGTCGGTTGGGGTGAGGAGGCGGCTACGGCCAAAGAGAAGTCGAGCCTCAGAGGATTTCCCGTTGGAAAGCGGCGTCCCTTCTTTTTGGCATTTTGAGGATAGGGCTACGGGCTGTGCCTTGAAGACCATAGCATACCATGTTGTAGCTTCTCATCACCAACCCTACAAGCAGTATGGAACATATCGGCAACCTACAAAAAGAAGGCAGGTGTTCGTTGTTCAAGGTACTTGGAAGTTCATGGTTAGTAATAACTGGAGTTACAAGTCCGCCAATATGGGGTTTAACTATAGTTACCCTACTTATATACCCACTTATGACTACCCCTCAACCTCCAAGTAGGCCCTAAACCCTATACCCTTGTAGAATCCCTCTAGATCCCTTTAAAGCTGCCCTTTTTCAGGAACCCTAAAAACTACTTAAGGGGCCTAGCGCAGAGCTGGTAGTCGGTGACGTGTCGGCTTCAGCCTACGGAGGGTTCCGAGTTAACGCTTCTTCGCGATGAATTTCTGCAGCTGATCTAGGGGCCTAAATTAATCCAAAAAAAGGTGGTTTTGGGGCCCATTATACTAGACTATAGTTATCAAGAGGAACCACCAGAATACTGTAGGCCATCTTCGAATCGATCCTTGGGGCTCTCCCGTCATTCGCTATGCACTCCACGGGGCGAGAGGTTGCACCCTGCGTTGCAACGAGACAGGCTTCAATGAATCCCAGGCTTTCGGAACCTTGGGTTGTTTGCGGTGCTCACGAGTTTGAACGGTGGATGTGCCAGAGCTGCAGGGGGACTAGGTTTGAAGGGTTTCGAGAAACTTCTCCTGGCCGATTTTACTATGCTTTTAATAAGTCCCCACCAAAATAGTATAGGTAATTATTTAGGCCCCTACAGTACTACTTGCCGACGGAAGAAGTTGCAGTGCATTTCGGATTTGGAGGTTTCAGGTCTCAAGAAAGAAACACCCCGAATCTTGAGAAACCCTGGATTTAGACTCAAAGGGTAAAAGGAGGGACCCTTAATAAGGACCCCTAGGTATATACCCTTAATCTAGCTATTATATACCCATTATATAGCCCATTATCCCGATCCCTAAACCCGAAACCATCCCAAACCCCTAAACTCTCAAGTGGCCCCAATATACGGGCCTTAATAGTTAGATTAGGGTTTTGGGGCCCATGCACGAAACTTGTAACAAGGAACCCCCCAAAAACATTAGGATTGGTAACTCTTTAGGTCTCTAGGCCCCTCTATCCCTAAATCCCTTAGTCTTGAAGCCCCTACAATCCCCCCTAAAAAGGAACTACAATGGAGACTATAGGTAACTAACTCCCCTATAAAGCCCTTATAGATCCCTTTAAGGACCCTTATAGATCCCTATAAAAATCCCTTCTACCCCTGAGAGCCCGGCTCATCGCAGGAGGAGAAGGAGTCGGCTGAGCTTCTTGAGCCACTCTCCGAGTCCGTGTCCGAGGCGGACTCCTTCGTTTAGGGTTTTGGGGTTGAGGGATTTTTTCCGGTTTAGGGTTTGGGGTTGAGGGATTTTTTCCGGTTTCGGGTTTAGGGTTGAAGGGTTGAGGGATTTTTGTCCGGTTTAGGGTTTAGGGTTTAAGGGTTGAGGGATTTTTGTTCCGGTTTAGGGTTTAGGGTTTTGGGTTTTGAGGGATTTTTTCCGGTTTAGGATTTAGGGTTTTGGGGTTGAGGGATTTTTTTCCTGTTTTTTTTGACGCTCACACTCGCACGCAGCAGGCAAGGCTCCACATAGTCCACAGTATCTCCACTACACTAGTCACTAGCCCGCATGAGTACTCCAATGAACTAACAGCAACACCGCACCCAATAAGTAAAGTCAAAGATATAACACTCAACAACACGTTGGAGCCATCAGAGACCCAGCAGGCTATGGGTTGGGCAGTTGCCCCTATTTCAAAATATCACTGACTTCTCTACTCAGGCCCTCGTTGTGCTCCACCTCATCATGTAGCGTGGGTCATGCATCACAGGACGTGTGCCCGGCAGGCGTGGTTCAATCATGCAGATGGACGTGCAGCGTTCATGCCCCCTCAGGCAGAGGGTGACAAATTCACTTCATTCCTCATGCTTTCATTTATCACATGCAGAGCATAGACATGCAGCCACAACTCCATCTTCTTGTATTCCCTCCAGAGCCCAGTGCCGCTCTGGCAATTGCATGCATAGCTGTGTCAGAGATTCCAGGCTTTCCCATGGGGCTTCCAATTCCAGAACAACGAATTAGTGAATTCCAGGCACAGTCATCGCAGGCATGCCTGAATTCACCAATTCATCAACTTTGTTGGCTCCCACACTGTCGCTGCCAGCATCAGTAAACACGGCTGCCCGCACACTCTCAGCGGCCTGGTCGTGTAAGGTCACGCATGACCCCATTACCCAGCAGATGATCAGCTCTAAGGAACCAAACTCGCAGGCGCATGCACCACAACAAATTGGTCTGTATGTCGATCACTGTTCTGGTGTGGTTCGCAGACAGCTCAGCCTCCGGGCATTGTTGAATCGTGAGTTCACACGTCCTGGTAAGGTACGTTAGGTATGCCCGTACCAGACTCACTTCCTCCAGTGCACCATGCTCCGACCTGAACTGTCGTATGCCATCCAACATCACTCGAGCCAGATAGCCTGCCGTGTCTGCATCCAAGTCTTCGTAAAGGTCCAGCAGTGAGTGAGCATTCAGCCCTGTATGCAGCTCAGCAAAGGGAGGCAGTGTTCCGAAAGTCATCCTCGTCTGTTTTCGGCCATGGCTCAGACAGGTGGCGTAGGTTCGGGAACCTAATTCACGGGACTTAGTAGCGTAGGGACGGGAGCATAGACAATTAAGTGCTATTACCCCGGACCTGTCGCGAAGGGAGGCAGGAGGGAGAGCAGGTGATGGCTCTGCAACGACATCACATTAGCATATCATCTCATCACAGCATTGCATGCGTCATGGCGATGCCTGTACCCCCCCGGATGGACCTGAGGAAAGCAGGAATGATGATGCAAGTCCCCCCGCTGGTTTCAGGGGTGTTGAGTGAACCTGATGAAGGCAGGCATGGTGATGACTTGTATTCCCTGGGCCCGCATCGTTCGAGTGACTTGAGGTAGGGTACCGAGGCAGGTACATGGGGGTGCCCCTACCGTGCGAGTGTCTGATGAACCTGGTGAAAGCAGGCATGATGATGATTTGGGCCCCGTACTTAGACCTTGCAGGTTTATACTGAGGGAGTGACTATTGTTGTCCTACCACACGCATATGCCCAGTGGACCTGATGATAGCAGGCATGGTGATGAAGGGGCTGTGTTCAGGGGTTGGGGAGACAGGAAGTAGTCGCTGGCGCCTCTGTTTTCTAACTGCTATTGCACGCTGGTAATCCTTCGTTTTAGCTCGACTGCATTCCTCGCGGATCATCGGCATGTCATGGCCCTGTACAGTTTGGTGCAGTGTGCCTCTTGAAGCGATCAGCCCTGTGCTCAGGCAAGGCGATACAAAAGAAATCATTTCATAGCTCGGGCAGCACAGGGATCAACGCTTGCTTAAATTCACACATGCAGGTGCAACATGCAAACTCACTTACTAGCAAGGCCGGCGGCATATCACAACATGCACATGCAAGAATTCAGGCAACCGTACATTCGGGCTTTCATGCAGTATGTTCATGCAGTACAGCAGGGGCATGCATATGGTACATATAAATTCAGTGCTCGCGTCCCATGCCTAGTATAAGACGATCAGTGACACCTATGACCCAAGCAGCCAACAATACCTAAACCACAAGCTACTATCCACCACAGGACGGGAGCATGTTGCAAAAGTCTCAAGGTGTGTATTCCATGCAGGACCTTGCATGCGGGCCAGTGCGGGCTATAGAGATAATGACTCATATGGACTAAGTAATATGGTTCCCCGCATGCAATTGATCTGCCTTTGTGGTGTTCCCGGTCAGCATTAAGCACTAGTTGCAGAAGTAAGGTACAATAGACTGTTCACATAAAAGAAGCTAGGTAATGGGCCAACAGAAATAGTACTACAACTGGTCTTCGGGAACCATCTGGATGCGGCCATCCGAGTAAGTTACTGTGGCCAGTGGACCCATGGTTCTGGGCCTCGCTATGCGAGACTGGAGGTCGATGACTGTGGGAGGCCACGTTCGAAGGCCTAGGTCCATAACACTCCATAAAACGATCGCGGAGCTCAAGCAGGGTGAGCCGAGTTCCTTGGTGCGATCAGCATTCTCGCGCACCTGCTCCCGGAACTCGAGGAGCAAGGAAAGACAAATGTGCAATGGACCGCCTTGCTTCAGTACTCCTACCTGCCATTTGGAAGGGGTCTCCGTCAGGGAGGTCCAAATACTCTGCTGAACCAAGCTGCGCAGACTCCACTCTGACAATTGACAACGACGCTCAGCTGCTTCATCCGGGACCGAGCATCCAAGGTTCCGGAGCTGTGCTATGTCTGCAGCCTTAAGCGATGTCCATCCCGCTGGGACCCATGCCAGAAGGACCAAGCGATCTCGGCCCACCGCCAATGGCATGTGCCACTTCGTTCGTCCACAGAAGCGGTATGCCTCACCTTGAAGCACAACTCCCCTGCGACTGATACCATCCTCACATGTGACCTCAAAACTGCCCTCAGCATCCTCGACCCACGTCCCTCCTGGTGAGTTTGGCGAAAGATTGATTAGGAGATTCGGGAATGGGGCGTTCTGGGAGTCTCGATGAGGTCGTTGTGCGGAGGTTCGTTGCACCTGAAGAGATAGGAAGCAGTCTCTGGGAAAGTACTCACATAGCAGTCGTGCCAGCAAGCGCATCACTTCCGGGAACCTGTGCGTAGTAAGCCTGATGCCAGCTTTCACATGCACATACGCTCCAAAGGTGAGCACATCCATCTCCGTCAGGATTGCTTCAACAACCTGCCGCACTAGTGGCACAGTCAGCTTCTCAACCTCAGCAGCTTCCATTGCTAGCAGTTCAGCCTGCATACCTACAAGGCCGACTAGCTCTCCTTTCACGGTGCCAAATGCTGACAAAAATGAATTATGTGGCGTCCTGCCCCCCCCCCCCCTCCCCCTCCCCTCCACCACCCCCTTCCCTATTCCCCAGTATTGATAACTGTGAGGCCATAGGTACGAGTTCTTCATGTGCCAAGGATGGTCCACAACCCTGGTTGACTCTGCCAAAGTCCTCGCCAAAATACGCTTAGAAAAAGTCCTGTGCGCGGACAAGGTACTTTGTGGGCATGGTTACAGCCTTGAACTGACCTAACTTCGTCTTAACATCATCTGGGACGGGTTTCGGAGGCAGGCAGATCGAGGGTGCTGCCTTACTGAAGGCAGAGAGCAGGTGTGGCAGGTCCGCTAGCAAAGGCATTGGCACAGCTTCCTGAAAGAATTCCCGACGAAGCACCTGCAGGGGTGCCACCAACCTGGCACCAGGTCTTCCTAGGTGTGTGAGCAACAAAACCAGTTTGCATCCCAGCGTTAGGAGCGAGATCGCCGAAGCCATTGTGTCCTCACCCACCGGGCGGACCTGCACGACCACCTGCTTACCAGCATCCCTACCTCCTAGGAACAAGACGGCCTGGCATGTAAAGGTGACAGGATCAGGAAGCAGCCACACCAGTGGTGCTCCGACATGCTTCGCCTCCCTAATCTGCAATAGCGAGCACTCATACGGTTCATCCAGGATGTCCTTAGCCGGTCGCAGATACATCTGTTCAACGCCTCGGGCACCCCGTAACAGCACTAACTGTCGGTCAAAGAGGTAAGCTGCAGTGGACTGGGGCTCGCGATGAGCTGGTAACCAATGCTCAATCCAGCACGGAAGCAGCTCTCCCCACTTTTTCCTATCTTGTGCATAGACCTCCTAAGCTGGCGTTTCACGTCTTACATCATCAGAGACTATCTGCACGTACGTCTTCTGCATCTTACGTATAGCAAGGTCACTCACCCAGGATGCCCGCAGGCCTCGTCTCAGGTTCGTAACCGTGCATGTCCCAAGCAGATGCCGCAAGGGATGGAACACTTTGCATCTAGCGAGGTGTCCATGGTATGTCCACACTCTGCGTAGCCAAGTCCTCCGCCAATCTGGGCCTTTGCACTGCATGCACATCAGTCTAACGGAGCGGCGCCTGCTGACCCAGTTGTCCAGCCACGGGAGCAAGGGGTCTGTGGCAACACGGCACAGTGAGAGCAGGTAAGTGTTCTTATTACCCTCGATGGTCTTAAGAGTGCGTGCATCCGGATACATGCAAGGGGCAGCCCATTGCCATTTCGATGTCACATAGGCCTCAAAAAGCTCCAGTCGTACATGTAGTGGCGTGGCCGAGTCATCCAGGAGTTTCTTAAACGCATAGAATGTGTTGCTCGTTTTGCGTGCAAGTGCGTGAGGATGAGTTGCGGCCCAGGGTTATGTCCCAGCGGGACACCCAAAAAGAGGAGAAAGTCCTCTCCCGCCAGTGGTTTGACCGACCTTGGGAGCCAGACACCTGGCGTACTCCCCGAGATATCATTGAGGACCTTGCACTTGTCTAGGTTCACAACCAACCCTATTGTGCGAAGGGTCTGAATGACATGCCGGACCTTAGTTTGAAGCGCCCTTTCCGTATCCGCAAATATGATCAAGTCATCCGCATAAATGAGGAAGTGTGGGATTCCCTGTATTTGTGACTCCCATTCGGGAAACAATCCATGGAAGAGCGGCACAAGGGGTGCTAGGTACCAGTCCATGACTCTGGAAAACACGTCGGCGCTGAAGGCTGAGCCTTGCATAATCCCTCGCTTCATCGACAGGGTTTTGTCCATGCCCCCGAGGCCTACCCGTACTTCCGTCCCGAAGCACAGTCTCATGATGCTCAAGGCTTCAGCACACGGCTCACACGCCATGAGCCACTGGAACACCGCTTGGTGCGAAACGCTATCAAAAGCCGCCTTTATGTCCAACTTCGCCACCTTAGCTGTTCTGCCAGTCATTCTTTTCACGAGGGACATCGTACTCTGCGCTGCCACTATGCCATCCAGTACCTGCACTCCAGGCCTACAGGACTCCTACAGGCTAGCTGATTCGCTGCATAGGGCGGTGCCTTGTTTCGTAGACGGTTCATGACCACTTTGGCGTACAGACGGCTCAGGGATGGCACTAGACAAACAGGGCGGAGGTCCTTGGGACAAGATGGACGCGGGACTTTTGGGAGTAACACTATCTTTCCCTGACGCCACCCCTCAGGGACAGGGAGCTCTCCCCGAAGCAATCGGGTGAAATACATAGGCAGTCGGTCACGAGTGTCTCGCCTAAGCAGCACCTTAAGCCCTTCAAAGGTCACCCCATCCAGTCCCGCACTCACACCGGGGTTGCACTTGGCTAAGGCCTTTTGAAGCTCTTCACGTGTGACAGGGGCCGTGTGAGCCCCCGCATGTCTGTCTATCGCCTTTTCCCAATGCGCATCCCCGATAGGAGGCTCGTCTGAATCATACTTGGCCGTATAGAACGCATGAAGGTCCTTGACTGCGGTAGTAAGGCCCCCAGCTCTCAAAAAATGACCCCTCTGTGAAAGTACCCGCCGCACTGCTACGCATGTGTGCTATGGCCCGCCTATCCCCTGCCTTAGCACGGCGCAAAAGGTCCTCTTTGTGTTGCTGCTTGCTTTCCTTCCTACTGAAGTGAATCTCTTGCATGAGCGCCGCCCTGGCATCAGGGTCGCGAAGCTTCTTGCGTCTCTCAATTAGGTCCTTTACTTCCGGCGGGTCATTGTAGCGAAGCGAAGGAGGCCTGGAACACACACCCGGTTGCATGCAGGCCGTCGCAACCGTCTCCTGATCCCACTCTGACACTGCTTGCATATGCTCCCAGAGAGCATCATCGCGCACTACCCACTTCCCACAACGGGTTTGTCGCGGTCGTCGCCTCAGTGGGGTTCGCCCCGTAGCTAGCCTTATTGACATTCCCACGGCATTGTGGTCTGACGGCAGTGCAAGACGAAAGTCTTCCCTCTTCCAAAACGACACCTCCGTACAGGGGGCACGGAACAAGAAGAAATCAATAGCCGACTCTGAACCCCTCGCAACCCACGTCACTCCCTGATCAGGGCTCACTTCAAGCCCCGTCCTCGCCAGGAACTGACGCATGTGCATCATGCCCTCAAAGTCATCCACCTCCGCGTGAAGGTTCTGATTGAGGTCCTGTCCAATCAACACCGTCGCGTCTGCTGGGCAGCGATCCAGTGTCTCCTGTAGCGACACCGTGTTCGCCCTCCAGACTTCCACTGCGTCCGGTCGGTGCGCATGGGGAAAATGCATGGTAGCCATATAGAATTCACGTTCCAACATCTTCCCTCTTACACTCACCCCCACCTCATGCACTTGCACTTCATGCAGCTTAAATTCCAGAGCACATGCAACAAGCAGGGCCGAGCAGCGATGACTCTTCTCAGGATTGGCTATGTATGCAACAAATTCCTTCCCCGCAATTACGGCGAAGTCCTCTCGGTGACATCCCAACGAAAGCCCCCTGACGTCGCCCACTTCTTGCAGGAACATGACATCTGAGGGGGGTTCAAGTCCTGCAAGCAAGGTCGAGATACTTTCAATCCCTTTACCATGCAAATTCCATGTCATGCACTGAATGGTTTGTGCTTCTGCACCCCTCCCGTGGCCACGAAGCAGTTGCTGAGGAGACTGACGGTAGGTATCACCTGTCTGCCCCCCTGTGAAACCGGTTTCAGCTGCTCCCCCTCCTGTTTCCTAGGCAGCATCAAAGTGCTGCAAGATAGATTCTTCCGTGCACCCAAGCAGGCCTGCCACCTTAGTGACATCGATAAACCAACCCGTTTCATTTCCCTTGGCATCCGTGAGCATAAGAGTATGGTGGGCGCGCTGTGTGTAATCAAGATGGTGCAGAATCTGGTGATTGTTGACCCAGACCTTCCCCCGCCAATCCCGGTCAACCAGCGTGTCTCCCACAAAGCGAACGCACAGAGCCTGGACAGACAAGATAGCCCGTACTTGAGCTCTTTCACGCTGTGACCGGTTACGGGCAAACCAGAACTTGGCTCCATCCTGGGCCGGGATCCTAGACTTGTAGTGAAGGTTCTGCAGGTGCTTGAGGACCATGGTTTGAAGCTTCCGTTTTGCCCATATGTCAGTTTCTGCATAGACAAGCTCCACTCTGCAAAAGCTGCTACGCACATAGGGTACATATACGTTTTTCAGGAGAGCCCCAGCTTTCAGCAGCTCGAACATGGCTTTAACATCTTCTGTGATCGCATCCCTTTTTGCCTCCCCCCATCCCCCAATGACAATCTGAAACTCATCAACTTCTCTCTGACCAGCAAACCTAGGGCTGTCAGATCTTCCCGCATTTGACCTGGGGGTGTGAGCAGGACTGACATTTCTTGTGGGGGGAGAGCTTTTGAACTCAGCGAACTCCTTCTCTAGTTGCCGAAACTCTCTACGCATCTGCTCCAACGAGGCCTCCTGTTCATCAGCCCTTCTTGTTAAGGACTCCTGCCCTATACTCAAGTTTCGAATACCTTCCTGGATTCGACTAAGCTCCGCGCCCGAGGTTTGGATCTGCTGAGACATGAGTCGCTGCGTGTCCGCTATCACTTTGATGTCCCTCTGAAGGTCAGGCAGCCAAGCTGGCTGTGCGTCCAAGCGATACACCTCAGTGACGGGGGCCATGGCATTTGGTCCTGCCGACGGCTCCCCTGCATTCCCCCCGACGACCGGACCATGGAACAGGGGGGGGGTGTCCCCCCCCTGTGACATGCGGGCCTGTCGCGCCCACGCCACCGAACGCAGGTATCTTGGTCCCTAAACGAGGCTTCTTTTCGGGACTAGCCGCCTTAAGATTACGAACACTGTCCACACTGCCGTGGTTGGCTTGAGCTATATGTGCATCCGGGTGTAGCAAATTTGATGCCCGTGTTCAGCCGTGCCTTTCCGCACACCTTCGGCTGCCATCAGCAGCGCCACAAACACAAGTAGCGCGACTTTCATGCTGAAGACTGCTGGAGAGTGCAACACTGCTACTGGACACGACAAGGCTCTGTGAACTCTGAACTGTCATGTTGGGGAAGCTGACAGAGCGATGCTTCCGCCGCCCCCTCCTCCCCTCACGCGCCCGCTCAGCCCCTCACCCACCCACCACCAGTATGCACGTCAGGCCACCATGGCATGTTCAAAGACGTGTCCACAATCAACCCGGTTGCTGTTCCTAACCCTATCCCGCGACCGCGAGTGCTGGATGGTGACAAACCTTCACGCCATGGTTGCGACAAAGGTGCCTTGACACAATGGACCTGAGTGAGCCCTGGTCCTATGTTGCAATGCACCGAGCACAACGCCACCTTTCCTGCCTGTGGAAGTGACGCCTGGCAGAGAGCTCAACATCTGGCAACACTACACCACGGATCCAGAAAAGTATCTTGCGAAGATGCGACGGGTCTGGAGTCCAGTCTGTGCACGTGGTTGAAAACTTGTCCGTGCAAGGGACACATTCTGGATGCTAAGGCAACAAACAACTCTGGCTGGCGAAAGTGTTCCGCTGACGACAAGTAACAAGGTCTGAGGCTTGAGTGGACAATTGACCTTGCTTGCTCAACACTCGGATCTTCGTGGCCCGGATCTGAGCCTGACCTGTATGAAGACTGGATTAGATCAACGCACTTCGTTGGCCACACTCCATGCTCCTGTCCGACCTTGATGCAAGGATGCATTTCGTTGGCCACACTTCATGTTCCTGCCCTTCTGTGATGCGAGGCGTGTCACTGACAGGAGTGACTGATTGTGACCGATGGTACAGTGCATTGTTGACCTGCCGCACCGGACAGACAATCCCCGAAATGATGTGAACTATGCCTGACAAATTCGGTGATACTGACATAGCAATTCGATGCAACCATGGGCATTGCAATTCTGAATGAGGCCACTGCAAACTTGTTGAGCTGGTGTGTCTGAAGATTGAGTGGACAAGACCTCTTGTCACTTGTCTATAGTCGGATGTGCGCTTGTGAAAAGGAACGGCGTGACGGACAAAGGCATGTGCAAGCTGAATTACTCTGAGAACTTGAAGAGCAAACTGGTGTGAGATGCAGTCCATTAGTAATTAACAGTGCTTGAGCCGGCATTTTGCTGAGAGCACTGAAACTGCTGTGAAAACAGTGTCAATGGAGCTGAGAAAGCTCGAAACTTGTGAAGGTTCCTTGAAAACAAGGGGGTCGTCAAAGAGAGGCTGCAAAACCCCTCAGCGCATGTGTGACTAATGGGTGTGAATCGCCTTGATAGTCACAGCTTCATTCCGAGAAAGAGTGGATGAATTCGCCGACCAATCAGACTTGTTACCCTGCTTCGTGAGCTCAGCCATGCAGGAGGCAAAAAACTCACTCCGCATCACAACATGCTTCAAAAAGATTCGCGTATCATGTAAGTCCCGGCTTATGGATATATGCGAGCACTGACGTAACCTTTCATACGCACAAACTCACTGGACGCTGCACCAACGAGTCTCTGGTCATGGCCAGCTGCTGCTGACTTCCGAGTTGCAGTTCATTTCGATGAGCCGGAGCTGGTGGATGACGATGATGATGCAGCCTCTTCCCTGCACTGCCGCATTTTCCGGTTTAGGGTTTAGGGTTTTGGGGTTGAGGGATTTTTTTCAGGTTTAGGGTTTAGGGTTTTGGGGTTGAGGGATTTTTTTCCGATTTAGGGTTTAGGGTTTTGGGGTTGAGTGATTTTTTTTCCGGTTTAGGGTTTTGGGGTTGAGGGATTTTTTCGGTTTAGGGTTTAGGGTTTAGGGTTTTGGGGTTGAGGGATTTTTTTTCCGGTTTAGGGTTTTGGGTTTTGGGGTTGAAGGATTTTTTTCCGGTTTAGGGTTTAGGGCTTTGGGGTTGAGGGATTTTTTCCGGTTTAGGGTTTAGGGTTTTGGGGTTGAGGGAGCTTTTTCCGGTTCAGGGTTTAGGGTTTTGAGGTTGAGGGATTAGGGTTTAGGGTGACTTTCCGTGCTGTTTCTGGCGAGCGGCATTCCGAAAATTGGGCTTAGGATAAGATATGACGATATGATCTAACTTAGGATTTCGCGGGCTCAATACTTGGACGTTGGGGGCTTTAGAGCAAGAGGTGGCTAACCCCAGACCTCATATCCAATACCCAATGGGGTGAAAGTGTGGGGGGGAGTATAGCATCTGAAGTCTGGGGTTAGCCGTTGCTCGCTTTTAGGTGGGTGGTTCGTGGGTTTAGGTCTCGCCGCATGCTTGTGAACAGCGCTTCATGAACGCGAGAAACTCACGAAGCCTCGACAAGCATGTGCTATGTCATCATATGTCCCAGGCGTCTAGGCGCTCCTGAATCGAAAGTTCAAGAGTTCAACAGAACCTGCATGGCCCGCTCTGTCTACTCGAGCCCGGAAACCCGAAATACCAACGGAATCCCTCACACACTCATCTTGAAATTTGTACTCCCCACTGCATCCCCCCCCTTCGCTTCGGTCCTGTCATTTAGAAAGGCTTAGGTGTCGGAAGGCTTCGGGGAGGAGCTTCAGCAAACTCTGACTCTCAACTTTAGGTTTTTTCTTTTGGACGACCCTTTTCCATCTGCAACTTTAGGTTCAAAGCTTAGGAGATCGAGAGGGACAAATCCTCATCCGACAGATCACCACCATCACGGCAGAGGCAGGGACTGCAGCCGGGCTATGCCCCTAGGGTTTAGGGTCTGCCAACTCTTCTTTATGTGAAGAAAAACTCAGCATACACAATGCAAGCGAGGCGGGAGCCCATCAAAAAAAAACATATGTGCAAGGATATAATAACATAGACGGAACAAAAGAACCAACACAAGGATGTTGGGCTCCATGGAAGGCTACAGAAACAACGGGAAAACTCCCGCAATGAACATTTTGCGCGCTCACACCCGGAATCCGCAAACGAGGTCCATGAGGTACAGTCGGCCGAGTGCAAGCGAGCAGGTGCACCCTCAACCCTAAGAGGCCGCCAACAATGCCTGAATGCCAGCAAGAGGTGCGTGCTTCTGCTTGATCATGTACTTGACACGCTTTCTGATGGTGAGTACGAGAACGAATATCAAGTAAGCTAAAAGGATTGGCCAATACACCGGCACGTCGAACATGGACAGGAAGGTCATCGCCAGCGCCACGCCCGTCGCCCTCGTGCCTCTCCACCAGCACTTGAACTCCGAAAGCTCGCGGGTGAACGGCCTGAACTCTCCCTCGGTGTTCGTGTCGGGATCCCCCGCGACGTAGACTTGAAAGAGGTGCAGCAGATAGATACCGAGAGCATATGCGACTAGGAAGAATCCCTGCGTGATGTAGATCCGTGCCAGGAACATGCAAAGGAATGTGGCGAAGGCTCCCCATCTGACCCTCACCCAAACAAAGGTCTCGTCCAAGTATTGCTGCAGAATGCCCTGTGCTTGGACCATCGGCGGCACGCGCGCATGCTCTGCGGTTTCCTCCATAGGCCCGGCCCAGTAGGAACCCAGCAGGAATCTACATCACAGAAGAGCCGCACTTGACCCGAAATGGCCACAGTGTTTCGCGTTTGCAGTTCCTGCAGCACGGGGACTTTCTTCAGATTAGGGACACCTTTATTGTGTAAGGATCCTACTAGTGATAATAGTGATTATAAGAGTCCTGCGATTTTGGTGCGTCTATTTCAATCTAGCTTTGGCGCATCCAGGACCTAGCCTAGAAATCGTCTCGGCTTGTGCTAAGCACTGACAACCCCACTCATAACTACCGATGAACCTCCAAGTAGTCCCTCTAGCCGTGCATTTCAGGCTCCCAAAAATCCCCGAAACTGTGCAGCACAAGCTCCTCGGAGGCGTTGGGAGGGCACAGGCAGAAACAGATCCTCAGTCAAGTTCATCTCTGTACGATCCCAAAGGGCCCAAGTATCATTATGGTATATACTTAGAACCCCAACACCCCAACATACCCTAAAAGTATATACCATAATGATACTTGGACCCTTTGGGGATACGGGCCTTAAAAATGGAATAGGGCTCCTTTTGCGGATCCCTCAAAGGGGTCTGTAAGGGATCGGAGACAGAGTTCGATACTATAGGGGCCTGTAAAATCACAATAGGGTTTTGCGGCCCCATTCTACCATCATTATGATAAGGAGTTTCCGAAATAGAGTTGGTAATTGCGTAGTAAGAAATTTCCGAAATAGAGTTGATAATTGTTCAGGGCCCTATATTAGGAGTGTCGGCATGAGCAAAGCTTCCTCGGTCTCTTTCCATGCAGACCCTACTCTGATCTCCCGGATCCCAAAGTATTGTGCATAATGGGAGTTTTAGGGTTTAGGGTTTAGGGCATCATATTGAGCCTCTAATAGGGATGAGCCAAACCCTAACCCCGAAACCTGTGGACACCAACTGTCTTCCAGCCTCCTTGGAGCCCTATACACCCACAAGCTTCTAATCAGTAGGTGAAGCTAAGGGTCTTAGTATTTTAGTATTTGGAGCTACGTATGTCTTTTTGGGGTGGGCCTGTGCCAAAATCTGGTTTTTGTAGTTTGAATACCTTTCCACAACCATAAACCCTTTTTTCACAGGCTTGCGTGAATCCCGCCTGGATGTGTCGCACCTGTTCTCCGAACAAGGCCAGGCACAGAAGGAACCCCTACTTGTCGGGTATCATGGGGAACTAAAGGTTAACCTTTTTGGTTATATAAGGGTTATGTAGGGAGATTACTACCCACAAAAAGGTTAAAGGTTACCTACTCGACTACTAAGAACCCTAAACCAAGGGGCCCGGAGCTCTGAAAAAATCGAAGCTAGGAATCCAAGAAACCTTGGGCCTTTATTCGGGCTACTCGGGTTCTATAAGGGTTCCTGTAAAGGGTACTATGAGGGTTTCGGGGGGGTTTTGATGTAGGAACCTGATTAAGAAACCTTGGGCCTTTATGAGGGTTCCTTCTATGAATCCTACTATTTTGGGGGTTCTAGGCCCAGGGTTCCTTAATCAGGTTCCGACAATCGAGAACCCCAAGAAAGGCCCGAGGTTTCCTACTTTCAACCCCACCGGGCCCTAAACCCTAAGGTCGCGACTTCCGGCGCTGCTTCGGCATGGCGAAGGCCACAAAGCAGATGAGGGCGGAACTTTCAAAGGGAGAGTTTCAAACTTCCTCCGCCCCAAGCCTCATGTGATCTCATGTGTGCCTGTTGCAGTGCAGCTTCAGAGGATGGGTACGGAGAAGCAGAGCAACTCCTTGCGCGATAGCTGTCCTAGCTTGAGTTTGCTGTGACGTCTTGCTACATGCATAACAAGAGCAACACGAATAAGACGAAAATGATGCTCAGAACTAGTTCAAAGCCAGTGGGATCTATTCCCATCTCTCGTCGAGCAGCTGCGGCAGGATGTGAGAAGTCTTCAAGCTTCATGTCTAAACCCCAATTAGGTTGATGGCCTAGCGTGTAGAGCCCTGAATGCTATGCCAAGATCGGCAGCTCCCTAAAGCGCCCCGCCCCACCGCCCCCCCCCCTCCCGTCAACACAAAGCCGTGTCGAAAGACCCAACGACTTGGGCTGCTTAGAGCTACCGGCTTCGCGAGAACCCTGCAGCCCCACGAACCTGGTGAAGGAGGTCTGAGAAACTGGGCTTGCTGGCAAGATTCACTCATAAACCCCCTTGCTTAAAGGCCCTGACGATTACAATTTCGGGGTCGACATCAGGGCTTGCACTTTGTTCAACACAATCTCGTTGAAGGCTTCTGGGGGTTGGTTGTTAACTGAGTCCGGCTCAACCCGAAACCCTGAACCCTAAACCCCCAAACCCTTTTGCAACTGGCCTGCTTCGACTCCGCCAGGACGAACACTTGACCACAATCACTTCCCTTTTTTTGCATCAGGACACAATCACTTCCCTAAAACAATCAACCCCTAGATCCCCAGAGATCCAGCTACACATCAGGGCTCGAAGCAAGCGCATCTTTCCAGGTCGCGGTCGCTGCTTCGTCCTTGCGGTCCGGATCCTTCCACAGGAAGAAAACCTCCAGAGCTGTCGATGTTTTTGGGGTATGGGCTGGGGTTTAGGGTTTGTCCCACCCTCGTGGCTGTAGTTGGCTTTCGGCTTTCTGGGAGGCGCCGGCAACTGGACGAGCCCGCATCCTTGCTGGATCTTGAAAATGGCTAAGCGGCGCACTACCCAGCGCCACCCTTCGCAAACGAGGAACCTCTGCAGGGCCACAATAATGATCAACTTGAAGCCGTTTAACTACAAGTAAAAACAATTGTGCTTTAGATGGTCTCAGCCATTGATCAGCCTGAAAACCGCCTGAGGATTCAGAAAAGCCCTGCCGCGAAAGCAAAGAGTCCACACGCTGCTAAGGCACCGAGCCGCGCCACGTACGCCTCCGAGTCCATGTCAGTTCCGCCGAAGTCGTAGGACCTGACAGTCCGATCGAACGGCTTATGGCCCTCTAGAGCTTAGCCCACCAGATGCAATAACAAACCGTGAAAAACACCTAGCAGCTGGAGGAGTAGAGCAGAGGATGTCATCTTCGTGCTGAGATCGCGTAGACGTAGTGGAAGAGAAGGAGGAGGAGGAACAGCTTCACCAGCAGCAGAGCTAGCAGTCGAAGTCGTCGTCTTCGTTGTGGTAGCCAGCATCACCGTGGCATGATGATGGCAAGTAGTCATTGTCGTCAGAGTGCTAGTTGTCATCGTCGCATCCGTTCCAGTCGCACCAGGGCAAGTTGCAGTAGCACGCAGCAGTAAGGCAAATCACCAGGAAAAGGTACACAAAACAGGAATGGAAGCAGTAGTCGTAGCGGCAGACAGGGGAAGCAAGAACAGCACTCACACGACTGGGGCAACAAGGGGTTCAACAAAATGAAGACACCGGACTGCGCACCAAGCTGCGCTGCGGGTAGAGCTGAGAGGTGCAGTCGTCACACTCAGCCGCTTTCAAGGCTGTAGAGCTTGCCTCTCTTGGGTTTGGGTTTAAGGCAAAAAGGATTTGGGACCTTAGGGGTTTAGGGCTCTTGGCTCTTACGGTCTGGGCTTGGGATGTTGGGTTTAGGCACTTCGGCTTGACATGAAGCGACCTATTGAATCGACAGCAGGTCTTTGTGAGTAGGGCCTTGCTTCTTGGGGCCCTCGGGTGTGGTTGTGCTTTAGTTTTGGCTTGGCAATACTGATCAGAAGGGAAGGGCAATGAACATCACAGAAGCCATGACCGTATATGTCAGTGCCCGGACCATCTGAGCGCAAGACAAGGCATGATGATCATGATGCTGATGAAGAAGAGACTGATCGTGGCGCTACTGCTGATGACAGTGGTGATAGTAAAGTTGCACTACCTGCAGTGGTAGTATCGCGATGCCGGCAGCAGTGGTGATGACGACAGTGAAAACTAGATAGTGGTGATAACGAAGACCATTACGCTCATGATAATGGTGGTTGCGGTGGCGGGGGCGAAATGCGGTGATGCTGATGATGGTGATGATGAGTGCTGATGCTTGTGGTGATGTTGACTATGAACGAACAGCGAGGCTGATGACGATCTAAATGTGGATGACGGCAGCAGAGGAAAAGCTTCTTGGCTACAACAACTACGCCCCCACACAGAACCCTCTACTTCACAGACCCCTCAAAGGACACAGTCCCTTGTGGAAGCCCGCCGGTGGTCGCTACCAGATAGGGTTCAAACATTCGGGGTGCCTTACGGTTTTTGGACGTCCGCTATGCCAAATTAGGGGTACCCTACCCAGAGGTCCTCACCATTGCAGCAGGGACCCTAGTCTAGATTTGAATTCCTTGCCCTTTTATGGATAAAGCCCTCAGAGCAAGCCCCACGCCGTCCTGGCCGCAGAAACCTCGGCGGCGGCGCTACACTTACTCAAAGTAGGGGCTTTAACAAGCTTAAGAATTAGAGTCGGGTGTAGGGTCATATTGCGCCCTGACTACATATGGACTATACAGCGGCAATGGTACTATTACTAATTACTCATCACTCTGACCCCTAGCTCTTAAAGGAACCCCCTAGATAGATGCCTTAAAGGAACCCTTACAGCAGTTGAGGGTTCTGCCTTGTTCGGCCGAGGTCGCGAGGTCTGTGGCCAGGGGTGAGCTATACCTTCACTAGAGTCTTTTACCTTAGACCATAAACCCGCTTGTTTTGAGGGCCTTTTTGAGTCTGCACTAGTAATCTAGCCGTCTCAGCCCAAACCCTGTCTAGGGTGTGGGATTTAAGGTTTTGGGCTTCGGGAGCTTTGGCACCGATGGGCCAAGAGCACAGGGCCTTCTACAGGATTACTCTGTGGCTCACTATATGAGGGTTTTACTATAAGAAGAGAGACTATGTTGAGGTTTGGTGGAACAAAAAAGTTAGCTTGGTGGGTGAAGGAAAGACGAGACACATCTCAGGGTATCGCTATAGAATAGAAAACACATGTCGCAAAAATCTACCGATGCTATTGCTGTAGTACAGTACCCACCAAAACACCATTCTGATTGTGAAGGCCCATATTGACACCCCTCAAAAACTGTACAAAGGCGGATAAATCTCGGTGCAGCACCAGCCACCAGAAAGATGCCTGCCGTTACCCTGCCCATACACGGCTAGCAGCAGGGTCCCGACTGGTACGGAAGCCGAAAGTAGGCTCGACAGGGAACTTTGACTCTTAGCACTTTTGGGGCTAAGGGTAGATAAGGTTTAGAAACAACCCCTAAACCTTAAACCCTAAACAGGACCCCTATCAAAAAACCCTGGTGAATGCCTTCGGGTTAAACCCGAGCAGCCAGCCGAAGATGGAGAATCGGGGTGTCTTCCCGGTCACTGGCAGCACAGCCTCAGCTCATCCACAGACTTATCAAACTTTCACGTTGGGAATTGGTGAATCCACAAAATTACGGGACCCGAGCATAAACCCCACACACCAAAGCCCGGCATGTATGATGCATGTCGGTGGTTGTCAAAATTATAAGTATGGTCCCTTTTTGGGTCCTTATTAAAATACGGCACCTATTATTTAGGGTATCCAAAAAAGGACCATAATTTTGACAACTACCCATGTATAAAGGGGGCTTTAACGAGGTACTCTGAATCTCTTCGACAACAACCATACTGTCTTGGACTTCGGGTACTCCGGCCACTGAATTTCTACACGGGCACATGCAGGGTGGTGTCACTGGTCGGCTAAGGGCCTAGTATAGGGGCCTTAATAATTAGAATAGCGTTTTGGTCTCATATTATACTATAGTTATAACAAGGAACCCCCCAATAGTAGTGGTAATTATTTAAGCCCCTATAGTGGGGCACTTCCATGCTGCCGTCACCATCGTCGTCTTCACCATCATCAGAGCAGCACCTGCATCATCACTAGCAGACTAGCATCAACAAGAGCCCTATACTGGCCCTATATGGGAGTTTCCAGAAAATAGGGGACCCTAACCTGACAATCAGGGCCCAAAAATAAGGTACCCCTAATTTTCATTTTCGGAAACTCCCATACCATACGGACATCCTTGCAAGCAGTGCATGGCACTTTGTTTCTTGGCATCCCCAAGCAGGAGCTTCGACAGCTGTGCCAGCAACCTCCTTCTCGGGTTCGGGCCATTGACGTTGCGAAGCACACGTACAGAAACCAAAACGACTTAAACTTTACAACTGCCACGTGCAAGGGAGGTGTTGTGAGCATCCTTCTCAGGCAGAAGAAAGCCCCCGACCCAAGAAGGAGCTGCGATTTCGATCGGGAGCGCGATTGGGAACCAGAGCATGGACGAGGCAGAACTGATTCGCTGCATGCCTCAAACGGCGTTTAGCCATGGCAGCTTCAAAAGGAACGGCCTAATGCCGCTGCCCCCGCCACAAACCCGAAACGGGTTGGCGGAAGGGGGTCTCCTACGCCCTAAACTTTACATGCCCTACATGGAGCGCTTTCCTGAAACCTAACTATAGGGGCCTAATCAATTACCAACACTATTGTGGGAGTTCCTTATTATGATTATAGATGACTATAGTATAATGGACCCCAAAACCCTATTCCAATTGTTGAGGCCCTAATATTATCAAATCTGGCCCATGCTCACCTCATGGCTCCCGGGCAGGCTCGACCGCTGTATCATCTTCTGGCAATTCCTTGGCTGGGCTGCATAGTGGAGGACTGGCACCACAGATCCGGCCTTCGTGCAAGATGTCTCTTTAACTTAAGTTGCGGACTTCTGCTGAACAATCCGCACCAAGCCGCCTTTGAAGGCGCCAGAGGAACACGACAGTCAGTATCCAGCTGGGCAGCACTGAAGCCACGTACAGCGCCGTCGCGCTAACAAAGAAGAACCTTGCCACCAGCAGCACCTCAGTTGAATTGGCGATGGAATCCCAAGTTTAGGGTGCTGGGTGGTCGCAAAAGACGTGGCGCGAAGGAAAAGACCCTGATCCCCAGATCAGCAATCCTGAGTCCGAAGACTCCCATATCAAAAACCCCTAACACCCTACTAATTACCCTCCACTCCCATGTCTAACATCTCCGAAGCTCGTCCTAAAGCTCCTTCAACCCAGAGCCTGAAACTCCAAGCCTTCCATTCGACACCTAAAGCCCTCTAAGGAGGCGCAGGAAGGAAGATCACCAGGAAAACCAGCGTAGAAGCCTTCGCCATGAACCGGAAGTCCTGGTGCGGAGCTTTTCCGGGGGCCTTGGTCTGGGTGTTTCTGTTTGTGTTCTTATCACTGGCATTTGTTGTAGTAGTCGTCATAGTAGTAGTCGCAGCAGCAGCACCAGAAGCAGAAGCAGGAGCAGGAATAGAAGCAGTAGTAGTCGTAGCAGCAGTAGTAGCAGTAGCAGCAGTAGTAGTACTCGTCGTCGTGGTGGTGGTGGTGGCGGTGGTGGTGGTGTTGTCGTCAGTATTGCTATTCTCATCGCTGTTATCCTTTTTACCTGTTCTGGATGTCGATTTACAGTCTACTACTGTCTTGATTTTGTTGAGCTTGGAGACTTGGCATTTCATGCAGTGAGGATCCACTCCGGATGGAGTGAACTCCTGATGGGATGAGCGCGGGCTTCGTGGCCCGGGCGACGCTTAGCTCCACACGTTCGAGGATTCAGGCACTTGCCGGTGTTTCCGAAGCTATGGACCCTGAACACTATGAGCCCGATTCTCACGACTGCCCAAAAGGAGCCCCCAACACTAGGGGACCCTAGTATAGTACTCTACATGATAGGATCCTGATGATAACTATTATTATTATTATATGTAAAAGGAACCCCATTCAGTCGGGGCTTCATTGTTTCAGGAATCCCTGGCCTGGCATGCGTAGAGCCCCGCCTTTGCCACGCTGAAGATGCCTCGCAAGGAATCACTCGAGCGTCACGAGAGCTGGGAGTGTAGGCCTGTAAGGTTTAGGACTTTGGGGCCTAGGGGTTGAGACAGGTCTACCCGAGGTGTGCATCCAGCGGGGTGCACTTGAAACCATTTTCTACAGCGCTGGTGCACCTCATTGTCCATCTGGCAAGTTCTGCCCCTCTCTCTCTCTCTCTCTCTCTCTCTCTCTCTCTCTCTCTCTCTCTCTCTCTCTCTCTCTCTCTCTCTCTCTCTCTCTCTCCTTCAAATCATATTCGCACCATGGCCCGAGAGCCTGAGGTCCCAAGGTGGCCCGCTTCCTCCCCACTGAAACCTTTGAACTCAGATCCCCGCAAGCCTAAGACGGTCGTTGCAACCTACAGCCCCCGAGCTACCGCACTATTGCACTGCAAGCTGCAAGTCGCGAACACCGTGAAACCAAAGGCCCGGAAAGTGTCGAAGATCGTGGTGTCGTACTTCCCCAGGCCCGAGGAAAAGAGGCCGGCGTAGATGCCCAGGCACTCCCGTGTGTTCGCGAACTCACAGGCCTCCAGAAAACCGGGCTCTGAACGCTGGTCAAGCGCACGGTACGTCTGTCTGTACGTAGGTATGTATGCATGCGCCTCTGTGTGTGTGTGTGTATGTGCATGTAACTACGTGGTGTCTCATGGTTTGACTATGTTCAGCCATCTACATGTGTGTGTGTGCTTCTTCGCGAGTTTATCTGTGTACTTAGGGTGGGCTATATCATGCACCTATTCGCACAAGCTACATGAGTGAACGTAAACAAGAAAATCCGATAAGGACTATGAGGCGAGATGATCACAGAACACTCCGGCCTCTGTACTCATCGGAGATGTTTCGGAAACCCGGAAACCTGTCATGTAAACGCCAAACCTGAATCCGAAACCTTCAACAATACCCTCCAGAAGCCCTAGAGTGTAATACCAAACTTCAACCGGCCTAACACCTAGACCCAAGAGTATCCTAGGAATAAAAAGGGTGCCCTTTTTGGTTTCAAGGGGCTTATAAGGGAACCTGAACCCTAAAAAAGGGAATAAGGGCCTACTCTGGGTCCTAGACACTCTGTAACGAGCTTTGGTCCAGGCCTGCTGCGAGTAGTAGCCCGCAAGCTCGGCAAGGTTGGGAAGGATGAAGATCCTCCGTAGCTTTAACTTTCCGTTGGTTAGCAGGGAATGGAAGAATGGGAGTAATAGTAGTTATAATTATACCCCATTCCTCCATTCCCTACTAACCAAAGGTAAGTTAAAGGGTTTTGGGGCGGACCTTTTCCGTCTGCAGAACATCCGACGTCCCGAGTTCGGGGGGGTCAGCTTTCGTTACCCACACTCAGGCTATACCAACCACACTTTTTTGTTGAGCGCCTTTTCATCTCGATTTAGGGCTGCAAGCTGCAAGGCTTGTTGAGGAGTTTTGATTTTGGGTTGGTGTTTCAGATTTCAGGGGCGGTGAGTTCAGGGTTGTAGGTTCTTCGGGCTGACTGTAAGGACTGCAAGGCTTTCAGGGTGTACGGCTTTAGGCCTTTAGGGTTCAAGGCTGGCGTGGCTTAGGAACATGAAAATCCTGCGCATGCCTCAGCAATTACAAAGCGTGTCTACAGACTAAGGCAATCGAGCAAAAGTTTAGTGCCGGGTTGCCGGACCTATGCCAATGGACAACGACCAGAAAAGAATAAAGCCAAAGGCGAGGCTCCCTCCGCCCTTCGAAGGCAAGGAACACCATGCAACCAATCCACTAGGTGTCGATTTCAACAGTCCCCCAACTGATGTATAAAAACAGTAGGGGGAATTCCTAGTTATCCCAAATCGATACCTAGTCTAGCAAAAGCTTCGTCCGAGCGACGCTGAGATTGCTCCGAGGACAACGCTGAGAGCTACCATGACCTGGATCTTTAAACCTAACCCTAAACTGACCCTAAACCCTAAACCCATAAACCCATCAACCCATTTTCTGTAAACCCTAAACCCATAAACCCATAAACCTGAGGCCCTAAACCCTAAACAGACCTAACCATCAACCTCGGGCCCCCAAGCATACAACCGAAGTAAATCGGGGCCTCATTTTCGTTTTCTGTATCGGTTGCTGGGTGTCCATTGTATTGCATCAGTGCCGATCTCACTTGCTCTCGCAAAGCCCAAACACCCTAAACGCCTTGAGCCCTAAACCTTCAAGCCCCTTCTGCTGCAGGCTTGCGCGCAAGGATGCCTGGTAGTTTTGCCGCTCTTCCGCCAGTTAGGACTGTGCTCGTGACAGCGCCCCTAGCTTCTGAGCACTTCGACCCCCTAAACCCCTAAGCCCTACTCTTCAAGCCCCCGAACCTCGGCCGTGATAACTAAACCCCGCAAGCTCTAAACTTCAAAGCCTAGACTGGGGGGTTTATGGTTTGAAGTTTGGGGTTTTTCCCCACCCGCCCAGCTGACAAAGTCGCACCGCAGGGTATTTGTTGTGTTTAAGGGCTTAGGTATCCCATGGTATGCCCAAAACTTCGAACTCCCGAATCCGGCCTTCATAAGGTAGGCAAACTGCACATAGGCCTGCCGCCCTACCAACACGGGACCCACGAGCTTCACCACATAGGCCAGGGCCACGGAGTAGGCCGTGTACCTCAAGTAACAGATGAGCCAAAAGACAGCGCCAATGATATACATATATATATATATATATAACTACACAGATGACACTAACAAGAAGAACTGGTACTAGCACTAGTACCACTAGAATGCATTATGATATAGTTATCATCACGAACGCTTACGTAGAGACTGATGACAGGGACCGACGGTTTATCATTGACCCGGGTTTCCTTCAATTCGCCGCCAACAGACAGCTTCGGCAGAGGGCCTTACATCCTGTAAAACGGCTGATGCAGTCCCAGGGCTTATGGTCGCTGAGGCGGCGTCCACAGCTCAAGATGACTTCCGAAACATTGGGCCCCAAAAGCCCAAATCTCAGGAGAAAACGGAAAAGCAACCTCACGACCCAAGTCATAAACCCGAACCTCCTTGTCCCTAAGTGCCTAAATAAACCATCAGCCCAACAATCCTTGAAACCCAGAGCCCTAGACCCTAAACCCTAGAACCCTAAAAGGAACCCCCACTAAACCCTCTACACCCCGAGCCCTCAGAAAAAAGTTCCCGTGAAGCCTAGAGCCTTTGAAGGAGCCTCGCGTCAACCCGAGCCCTGAAAGGAGCCTCCCGAAAAAGCCCCCAACTGCAGAATCCTGCCTTGAGATAAGACTCACAAGACCCTACCTCCTTAAAAAAGCCCCCCTAAAATCCACGGGTGTTGAGCATCGCTGAAACCCTAGAGCCCTAAAAGCATCCTCCTCAAAAAGCCCCCCTAAAACCCACAAAAAGCCCACAAGGAGTCGTCGGGCCGGGTCGCTGAGGCAGCGCCGCACTGGCGGCCGAGAGTTGGTACATGTCCTTCAAGTCGGTTTCGACTTTCGGGTGTCGGGCTTAGGGTTTAGGATTTGGGGTTGGGGATGGAGGGTTGAGGTTTGGAGATAATCCGGAGCTCTGCAGACAACTCGGTACTATGACGTAGGGTATAGTACATGCATGATTCGAAAGGTATTGGGCTCTTGGCTCGATGTCAGTCTTGGGCTTCGGGTATGTACTCTGATGTCGTCACCGGTCACAGTTCAGGCAGTGATCGGGACGGTGATCGTGGTGAACTGGGTGACACGGATAACAGCGATGATGATTGTGGGTTGTGGTGATCAGCGCTGGAGATGGTAGTGGTGGTGGTGGTGGTGGTAAGGGTGGTTAAAAGGTTGCAACATGTTGCAACAAAACCCTGCGCCCTAAAACCGACGAAGCTGGAGAAGATGACGATGCTTGAGTGTAGACGGGGAATGCGCCGTGTTCTAAGTAGAAGCCGAACATTTCGAAGATTCTGGTCCTCCTGCCCTTGGGCCTTGAGGCAAACTACTGTTCATGATATACATCTTGCACTACCTTAAGGACCCTAAACTGTGGGAATTATGGTATATTCCTTATTATGGGTAATGCAGGATTTATATCATCAACCGTATGGGGAAGTTTTGCGATGTTGTTTAGGCTAGGGGCTAAAGTAGTTTAAGATTGTCCTTCGAGTTTATGGACGTCCCCGATGCCAATTTAAGCCAAACAAGATCGAAAGCATCTCCACGTGCACTACACTCACATCAGACTCACATCAGCCCCTGAACCTGCACAGCCAGACACAGATCTCACCAGCATACGAGAAACCTTTCGCACAATCATGCAGGATATGGCATCCACCGCCTTAGATTCTAAGCTCCAATCCGTACGGAACTGAAAACCTGAACCCGGAGCTCTGTCAATCCAATGAGCCAGGAGCGACACCCAATGAACATGCGTGGATATGGGAGTTTCCGAAAACAGGGGACCCGAGCATAGTACCCTAGATGGTAGGATCCTTTTATAAGTACCCCAAAATAAGGTACCCCTGATTTTCGGAAACTTGCATATGGATCAACCCCTACAGCCCCCACGAGATGCCTGGAGGCTAACGTAGGCCGCGATGTAGACACAGGCGGTTCCTGAAGCTTGAAGAAGAAGGTCGAGGATCCTCAGAGTAACGGTTTCGGCGCTCACACTCGGACAATCCAGGCGAGGCATATGGTTCGAGGTCTGACAATGTGAAACGTCCTAAAGGAAGTAGTCAAGAATACAAGCAACAAAGGTCTACAAATAAGTAAAGGTAACTGTGCTCCTGCAGACTGCTTCCTACCGGGATCTTACATGATGGTGAAGCGAAAGGGTAACTGGTAAGATCTCGGTAGATTGCATCTACAGATCACTGAATCGGGTGCTTAGTCAGTACAATAGAGAAACGGTTTTGGGTTTAGGGTTTAAGCTCAGATTAAAGGCCTAGCTGACAAGTAGCGGCAGTAAGTTGTAGTAAATACTATTGCTAGCACCAGTAGTGGTCGTCGTCGTCGTACGTAGTCGCAGCCTCAGTCGTAGTCGTCTTCGCCGCGGTAGTGGTCTTGATGATGTTCAAAGTCGCACATCTTTGTGGGTGGCTTGTGTGCTTTTGGGGCTTCAGCCTTTCTGCTTTGTGAAATGCAAACCATGCACTAGGGGAGTTCCCTCCTAACCTATAGAAGCCCTAAAGCCCCAGCAGAGACTCCGACTGTTCGGCCCCAAACCTCAAAACCTTTTTCCTTACAACCCGACCCCTTTGGTTTCAAAGGGGCATGGCGAGAACGCCGTCCACCACCGCCTCCTTCGGCGTTCCCCCGCTGCCCAGTAGCTGGGTGCTGCCGGAGGCTAACCTTCTTGAAAAAGGCTTTCCGGCTAGAAAGCAAGAATCGGAGTGGCTTCGGGTTCTAGGGCTTTCTCTGCAAACTAGTCGTGGGCAACCCCTCGCGGACATATCTGGCTTGCTAGAGTTCAGATAGAGTTTAGGATACGTCCCGGGCATGAACTGTAGAATCCGAGACCTTACCTTCTCGCGGACTTCGGCGGCTGCTAGTAAGTCAGATCAAGCCTGGCCCAGAAGCCACGGATGCGAAGAAACGAACAACTTTCACAAGCTAGTGTCTGGGCAGGAGTGTTGGGATTGAGAATGGATGGAGCTTACCTTAACCTACCGAACCACACCTTTTTTGTAGGTTCTTCGCGTAAACCCTAAAATGGTTAAGTTGATCATGCCCCGGCACCTGCCAGAAATGCATCTTACCGAGAAGACCAGAGGTCTCACTGCTGGGATTCACCCGCTTTCGCCTCTGTTAACCCGATCGCAAATGCAGGGCTGTGATATGTGGACGTGCATACAAAGGGTATGTATGCGTGTATGTATGTTTGCGCATGTACATGTATGATTGAGTATGTATGTATGTGTGTGCATGTGCATGTGTATGTGTGTGTGTCATGTGCGCGTGCATAATCACGTGTGCATGTGTATGTGTGTATGCGTATATGTGTGTATGTGTGCATGCGTGTATGCGCTTTTGTGTGTATGTGTGCATGTGTGTATGTGTGTGTATGTGTTTATGTGTTTACGTTTCTTTGTGTGTATGTGTGTATGTGTGTGTATGTGTATATATGTATATGTGTATATGTGTATATGTGGTATATGTGGTATATGTGGTATATGTGTATATGTATGTATGTATGTATGTATGTATGTATGTATGTATGTATGTATGTATGTATGTATGCTTGTATTGTTCCCCCTCGCCCTGCCGACATGTATGTATGTATGTGTGTATGTATGTATGTATGTATGTATTTACACACATGCACCACCCTCAGCATTTATGACACTTGACTGGTTACGGCGTGGGTGCGGAGACATGCCGGGCGTAGATTTCTTGATGTCGTGGGCCGAGGGCCACATCGTCGGTCTAAAACGGTTGTCCTTGATCCGTGAAGTGCTCGGTATGGGAGCTCTCTTTGCAGCATTTGTGGGTGCGGTGTGCAATCAAAGCAAGGGGTCACCATCAGCTGTGCGCATCAACTAACCACCTGCGATACGCTATTTCGCAGCGCATGCGATCTCCGTCTCCGAAGATGTTCTATGTACATGGATGCATGAGCTGTCTCTTCGAAAGCTACAGCAACCCGGCATGCGGCATGCAGTGTGCTCAGTACATGCCGCCTTGTACCGTGATGACTCCACAACAGAGCAAGATAATCTAGATTAGTAGCCAGCGGAGGCAACAAGAGTACGGTCTCTAGCGTGACCCCTTTGCAGATTCCTCAGCTGCTCCTGCACGGCGGAGCTGTCACCACCAGACGGAGGATCGCCCCAGGTTACGATAGAGCCATCGCCGCGAACAGCAGCAAAAGCAAACTCAGAAGCTTGGATCTGCTGCACATTTCTCAGCTGGTCTTGCACGGCCGTGCTGTCACCACCGAAGCTACTATTGCCCCATGTCACGACAGACCCGTCGCCGACGACGGCAGCAAAGGCATCCCTCGAGGCTTGGATCTGTTGCACATTCTTAAGCTGGTCCTGCACAGCAGTGCTATCACCACCGGAATAGCCAGAGCCCCATGTCACCACGGATCCATCATCAAGAATGGCAGCAAAGGCATCCCTCGAGGCTTGGATCTGTTGAACGTTCTTCAACCGGTCCTGCACAGCAGTAATGTCACCGCCAGAGAATGAAGAACCCCACGTCAGCACGGAGCCATCAGCAGCAACAGCAGCAAAGGCAGAATTGGAAGCTTGGACTTGTCGCACGTTCTTGAGCTTATCATCCGCACAAGAAAAGCCGGCGAGCAGATTAAAGAACATTCCATGACCCCAGGTCACGACGGAACCATCACAAAGAACAGCAGCAAAAGCAGCGCCGCAGGCTTGGACGTGCTGTACGTTCCTCAGCCGCTTCTGCACGGCCGCACTATCCCCGCCACAAAGGGGATCGCCCCATGTCACCACAGACCCATCATCAACCACCGCAGCAAAGGCATGCCTCGAGGCCTGGATCTGTTGCACGTTCTTCAGCTGGTCCTGCACGGCAGAGCTGTCGCCACCATGTGCAGGATCGCCCCAGGTCGCGACAGAGCCATCGCCAACAATAGCAGCAAAGGCATACTGAGAGGCTTGGATCTGCTGCACATTTCTCAACTGATCCTGCGCGGCCGTGCTGTCACCACCGAAATTACGATTGCCCCACGTCACTACAGAGCCGTCGCCAGTGATGGCAGCAAAGGCATCCCTCGAGGCTTGGATCTGTTGCACATTCTTAAGCTGGTCCTGCACAGCAGTGCTATCACCACCAAAATTATGATTACCCCAAGTCACGACAGATCCGTCGCCAACGATGGCAGCGAAAGCATCCCTCGAGACTTGGATTTGTTGAACATTCTTCAGTTGGTGGTGCACATATGCGCTGTTACCCCCATGCCGGGAATCGCCCCAAGTCACAACCGATCTGTCGCCAAGAATGGCAGCAAATGCCATCGAGCTGCAAACGACTTGAGTTCTGCTGATGTGGAAAGTCAGCGAATCGCCATGCTGCACCTTTGCTTTCTTCATGGACGCATTCTCATCCAGGATGCTTCCACATGGATCCAACAAGCGGCCTTTGCCAACTCCCAGCTCTCTCTGCGCCCTGCGCTTCAATGTTCCCACCTCTTCATATTGGTTGGGGCTTCCAGGCTTCACTGGCTTCAAGGGGTTTTAAGGGGGCCTTGGGCGGGATGGAGCTTCAATGTTTAGGTCCCCACCTCTTCATCTAATTTGGCGTCCAGTGTAACTGTCCTGCCACTGATCAGCCCGACCTGCACCACGAGCATCGCCCAAAAGTGATCGAAGCGTATAGGCTTGGGCCAAACGAAACCAGCCGCTTCTGGGCACCGTCAAAGCCATAAGAAGGACAAAGAACCACATAGAAACTCATGTTGGCAATAACTGCCGTAGCCTTTGTGCGCTATTGCCGTTGCGCCAAGCACAACAGAGCGATGGACAACGGTACACGAGATAGGCTGAACAAAAAGGACCTCGTTGCCTCCTCCCCGAAACGAGACAGCCTCCGATAACATCATGACATGGGAGTTTCCGAAAATAGGGGACCCTAAATATAGTACCCTAAATAGTAGGATCCTTATGATAACCCCCAATTTTCGGAAACCCCCACATAAGTAGGAGTGGCCATTGGAGGGTGGCCCCGCACAAGCAAACATGGACATAGCAACAACTAGAAGCAGCACAAGCCCATTCCCTAGCGTCTCAGGGTGAAGGGCTCAGGATATTTACAGGCTTGAATGCAACATTTGTCTCGACTCTCACTCTCGCACAAGGCAGGCAAGGCTCCACACAGGTCCGAGGCGTTGAAGTGGGTGTTGGGGTAGCTCGTTTTACTCTCGAACAGTGGATCATGTTACAACGATGGCAGGGACCCAGAAACGAAAATGCACTTTAGCTCCGAAGCTAGTATGAAGCAGTAGAATAAAAATGTATATTAGTACACGAAGGAACCCTGAGGGAGGGTGTTGGAGATTACTTAGTACAGGGGCCTCAATACTTAGAATAGGGTTGTGGGGCCCATTATACTATAAACATAGTAAGGAACCCCGCATTGGTGATTTTATATGGGGTCTCATTTTAGGACCCAAACCGATCGTCAGAGCTGCCATGACACTCGGTGGACTGCACCATCAGCCCGTACTTTTGTCGAAGAGGGCCTTGCCACACAAAATGCCAGGCTTTCCTTACCTTTGGTTAGTAGGGAATGGAAGAATAGTAGTAATAGTAGTTATAATGGTACCCCATTCCTCCATTCCCGACTAACCAAAGGTAAGTTTAGATCCTAGGGAGGAAGTAAGACTACGCTCGATTCGTTCTTCCGAGCTCCCATGTCTTCAACGTGAAGCTCTGGAAACATGTTCCTCCGAGTCACCGCAAAGCACTACATGGAACTTCCAATGCCTACAGGCTGCTGTGAAACCAGTCCGATTGTTGTGGTGAAAACTCTGCCCTGCGTTTATACAGTCTTCGCCCAGGCTGCGATTCAGAGCGATGGTCGCAGCCATCATCGCCATCAGCACCACCTCAACTGTGACAAGGCAGGAGTTGATGGGAACAAACACTTGAAGATGCTGATGACCTTGATGACGACGGTGAGAGCCACAATGATGATGAACATCCTGCTGCTGCTGATGGACATGGTCATGGTCCATGGTGGGGGCGATGGGGATCGAAATGGCGCTGGTGATGATGATGATCATCCTGATGATGATGATGGTGATGAAGATGGTGATGGTGATGATGGTGAAGATGATGACGATGAGGAGGAGGAGGAGGAGGAATGACTACGATAATGATGATGGTGGGATGCAGATGGTGAAGACGATGGCGATGATGACCATCATGATGGTGATGACGATGATAATGACGATGATGACGGCGAACTGACGGCGATGACGTGAACGATGCTTCTAGCCTGCAGGGTCAACGGCGGATCTGCTCAGCTGCAAATCGGCTATGCCAACGGCAACGTCAACACTCATCTCCGAGAGTGGTAGCTAGGAGTCATGACCCAGAATCTGTGAAAGGTAGTTATCTAGGCCTCTGCAACTTTGCTGGTCAGTGTACGCCCATGTGCACCCCAAATGCTCCCACAGCCCCGGTGCAACCCCCGCAAGCCCTGTGTAAATGCAGTTGCCCACGTTCGATGCGAAGCTGGCCCAGCCGAGCAGAGGCAAGTTCATGGGCTTCGGGCCGAAGAACCATGCCCTCGGAACAGGGCACGGCCGCAATTGAGGCTTACATACTGGGCTTTTAAGTAACCAGGGGGAAAATATTATGAACTTCTATTTCAGAATGGTTCTTTTAAGTAAAAAGTATTAAAGTACGGTACTCCAAAGCCCAGGCCACCCAGCACCACGAAGATTTCAATCCCGGCACACTCCGGGTAGGCTTCGACAGTTTAGGTTTATGTGCCTTTCGGGATCTCAGGTAGGGTTTTAGGGTTTGGGGTCTTGCCCAGAATCCAATCACCGTCTGTGCGGAAAACGGAAGCTGAACAAACATGAACTAGTCAGTTCTAAACATTTTGGATATGGCTGCTGACACCAAACATTTCCAAAGATTGCTCAACCCCCCATGAACTCTGAAGCCCTACTACTGTCAGTCTTACTACTATGATTACTATTGTTGTTGCTGCTCTCGCTGTTGTTATTGTTGTTGGTAGTAGTAACAGTAGTAGTAGTAGTAGTAGCAGCAGCAGTAGTAGTTGCAGTAGTAGTAGCAGTATTCATTCCCCACGCAGCGGATCCAGTCCACCTAGCGAGAAGCACGGTCTTATGCCGGAGCTCTTCAGGGAGCTCGATGCTGTGCCCATGGGCCGCAGCAACTGCCAGATGCAACTACAGCAAGTGTCGATTGCACATGCTGGAAAACGTTAACTAAAAGGAGTCGCCACAATCAATCAGCCAGAGGGTACCTGGCTAGAGCGTCGTCGCAGTACGAAGATGCATGGCTGCATATCACACAGATCAGCTTCGGTCAGTGCTGGTGCAAAGGGTGTCAGCACATCTTCGCACAGTTTTCGATGCACTGCGTGGTAGCTGCAAGGGTCCCCGGAAATCCGATGCAAGACGATTGATCGTACCTCATACAGGCATGAGTATGGAGGTCTGGCATCAGGCTCGATGGTGAGCTGACATGCCGCCTCGGCAGCAGCCAGCCACGTGCATGAAGTATGTGGTCCAGCGGCCGATGTATGGCCTGTAGTATGGTCATGCACATACGCATACAAGGTGGATGGTGCAGCTCGAAGCCTCGGCCTGAAGGCAGAGTCACCCCATCCCCATAGGCCACCTGCGGTAGGAGCAGGCTTCCAGGGCAGATTTATTGGCATGGGAATCGTCAAGTCGGCCTGCTCGGAAGCAGGTGTAGCAGCGTCCCCTGTTGTACACCATTCCCACGGACCTGGCGTATCACCAGGTGCAAGGTGTTGTAGCAGGTATTGGAGTTGTGCACGCAAGTATGGGGCCTGGACCGTGGATGGTATTCCCCCCGCGATAGCAGACCAAAGGAGGTCACCTTTTAGGGAGATCGGTGTGTCAGGCGTGGTGCGGATTCGATGCCAAAGGTGCTTAAGCAACCCATGCACTTGCTGGGACCTGGTAGTGTCGCACCAGAGCGGCCACAGAAGGCATTGTAGGATCTGAAGCAGACCTGGAATGGCGTCACGAACATGCCAGCTGGACAGGTTGTAGGGTGGGGTCGGGGCGGCGGCATTAGAGGGGTTATGGGAGTTATGTGCAAGCGGAGCACGTCCAGGCCTCGTCACCACCCGCGAAGTGTTCTGGCCTGTTGCGACAGGCCGCCGCGTTCTCTGCGAAGACGGCATCCCATGGTGTGCAAAGCTGCGCAGCCTATCCAGGAATGAAGGATTTCCCATACGCGATTCCCCATGTCCCGGACACTGACTTCTATCGCTAGCTGGACCCATGCCGTCTGCGGAGCCCGGCTCAGTCCCCGAAGTGACTGAAACCGAAACAGAGTCTCGTCCGTGATGAGCTTGCGAAGCTCCACTGATTGGCCGATCAAGTCGTCCGTCACGTGTAGCTTGCCTCCCTGTTTCTCGCGGAGATCCTGTGCTGTCGGGTCCCAGACCAGAGTCTTCCACTGGCCTTGTTCCGTCAGCCAGCCCAGTTCCTTGGCTTTCTGCATGGATTCCGGTTGATCTTTCGTGGCCTTCAACCTCTGCCCCAGTTCGATGAGGAACGCCTTCATCATGACCAGTCGCAGCGGTTCCGTGATTTGGGACGGATCCGTCTGCTGGGTAGCATTCCATTTCTCCGAGGTGGCAAACAGAATTGGAAGCAGCCCCTCGTCCCCTGGCTTCACGAATAGGTATAACGTGTGGTCCTGCATCATGCTGTTGATGGCATATTCGTGTTTGATCGCCAAGGAGGTGAGCTTCTGTACCATGTCCGGCAGACCGTACTCCGAAGTCCATGGCGTGCTCCACGCTCCCTGTCCCGCGGGCCAGTTGTCCTGGCCCCAGGTGGTTGACTGTCGATTCCAGCCTCCCCATTGACCCTTTGCAGTTGCTTTGCCCTTGTTCTTGCCTTTCCCTTTGCCCTTCGGTGCCTGTGGCATTTGCGCAGCCGCCGATGACTGAAAGGAGGCCAGAGCGTCTGCAGTCCGTGGTCTTTTCTCCGAGGGGCCTTCCTCCCGTTCCCTCTTGGACTGGAGCGATGGACAGACTCCCCCGAAGAAGAGTCTCTCCTGTGCGGTCATCTCCAGGGCCTCCTCCATGTCTACTGCCGTGAGTTAGCTGTAGAAAGCAGCTAACTTGAAGAACAATGCAGGATCGCCAGTGTGTGTGCCGGTTAACCTGCGACTGTTTACAGTATCTACATGGGAAGACTATGGTACGACGGAAGGGTTTAAGGAGCTCAACAACCTTGGGAAACTTCTCGGTCCACTCCGCATGTTGGATTGTCATGTGGCGCTTCACTGCTGCGGTATCCACACACCATTGTCGACACAAGGGGCAGTGGTGAGTGAGCTCATGCTGCAACTCAGGCAGTTTAAGTAAAGCATGCCAGTGCTGCGTGCGCAGGATGGTCACGATGTGCGGCCTAAGAATCAGGGGCAGCACTGGGGCCTCTGGAGCAGTAGCAGCATTACCTGGTGGGGGTGGATGAGTTACCGGTTCAGAGCCGAGGTCTGTACCACTCAGAGTGGCTGATTCCAGTTGAGGTCCGGTGGCATCGGTCCCTATTTGGTGGGAGCAGAGGAAGGGACACTGGCCTTTGGCAATGTGGTTTCGGAGGTTGCTCCACTTCCTGAACGGGTATTTGCACAGACTACATGTAGGCATACCGTCGATGCTGCGCCTGAATCGGTCAAACGTGTGCACGGCCTGCTTGGGTGTGCGGACCTGATGTTTCCTGGCCTCATGGGCTCTCCGAAGGTGGTAAGTTGAGAAGGTCTCTCCACAGTAGCGGCATTCCAGAATGGCCTCTGGTTCACACTCTCTCGTACCTGGCGCGTGGTCGCGTGGGGGCGGTTGCGAAGTTAGTGAGAGCTGAAGGCCCTCAGCGAAGCGCAGCACTTGGGGTGCAAGGAGAGAGGAGTCTTCCACCTGCAGTTGCTGAAGATTGGCCTGCAAGCGAGCCAGGTCTCTCTCGACAATCTCAGCGACGTCAGGCACACCGGCCTTACGAAGGATTGCCTCGTTGCTGACACGATGGAGGTGCGCCGGGGATCTGAGGATGGCACGGAGCTGTCGAAGATACAGAGTGCGAAGTTGGCTGAGACCACCTGCTGGTAAACCCGTGGCAGCCAGTCCGTAGGTGAGCATGGGTGGTATGCTCGCTCGCCAAACGTTAATCCGGTCCTTAAGGAAGAGGCCGCGTTTGGAGCACACCACTTTCCGAAGTCTGGACCATTCGGCTTGTACAAGCTGAACACGATGCTGCAGGGTGGCAAGTCGCGGGTTCTTATAGCTTATTCTGACCCCTAAATAAGTGTGAACCTCCACAACTGGAAACTCGAACAGCCGACCTGTCGGAGTACGTAGACGCATGACTTGCCCGTCAGGAGTAGTTCGCAGGTGCTGCTTAAGCCATTTGGAAGCGAAGGTGCCCCGGAAGAGGAAGAGGACCGCAGATTTCTGGGCATTCACCGTAAGGCCGGCAACGCAGAGGATATCAAGAAGCTGACCTAGGCGTACTTCAAGACGACAGAGCTCGGCATATGAACTGACCTGACTCCCGGCGTGGAAGTCATCGGCGTATGTTGTGACATCAGTCGTCACCCACAGAGGATCTGCACAGAGGGCAAGCTCATAGAGGAAACGACCGGTGACAAGAGACCATATGAGCGGAGCAATAAGACAACCTTGTTTCAGGCCTCGACTAGCAGATATATCGACAGTCTGGCCTTGCACAGTAAGGACATACTTGATATCGCGATACCATTCCAAAACGTGGGCTTGGAGTTCAAGGGGTACTGAGGCGTCATCAAGTGCAGTGGCTATGTGTATCCATTCCATGTGGTCGAATGCTGAGCTTAGGTCAAGTGATAGCTGCAGGCCTCCAGCGGTGGCCTGTGGCTTTGGTATGCCGGCTCTTGCCTCGCGAGTTGTCCAATCCGCGGACATGCAGGAATCAATCACAGCCTGACAGTGTGCTTGCACGCGAAGAACTGAGTCGAGAGTGCCTCGGCCCGGAACATAAGCGAATTGAGGTAGATCTTTCAAATATTCAAGAACGAATGGCCTTAGTCGATTTTGGAGGATCTTGGAGACAATTCGACCTGAGACTTCCGTGACTCCTATGGGCCTGAGGTGCTTCGGAAGGGTTGGTCTCGTGACTTTAGGGATGAGCGCGAGCCAGGCCGCATGCCATAGCTCATCAATGGTCGTAAGGTCATTGACGAGCTCAGATAATTTCGGCATCACCTCCTCCGAGCAGAGTCGCCAGGCAGCTATGGGTGCCAGATGCTCCGGAACAGCCTTATGCACTGAGAGGCCTGCCAACGCACTTGACAGCGCGGTGGGGTCCATGTGGAGACTGGGCATAGTTTCAGCTCGTTCAGGCTGGCAGAATTGGCCAGTGTAGCTACTGCGAAGATGGGCTGACAGCAGTTGGGCCTGCTTCTCCGGAGAGATAAGTCCTCCATCCGGGGCTCGAAGCTGTACCTGAGTATACCGTTTCTTGGGTGCCAGCTGCCGGATTCCCTGATAGAGCGCACGGATATTATGTCGACGGGCATGCATGCCGAGCTCGTGAAGCCTGTCAGAGTACCAGGCATGTTTGGCAAGCCGGCCGGCACGGCGAAAATCTCTGTGGGCCTTCTGGAATTTGGCGTAGTGAAACCACGCCCTCCAAATCGTGGAGGTTTGGCGGTTGGCCGCCTGACGCCACTGTCGATAGTGGGTCCACATGGCACGTATACCTCCTTGCATAGCCGGTGACTGCCAAGGGGCTAGCCTCGTGCTACCAGCACGCGGTGGCAAGTGTAGCTGCAGGGCAGAGGTGAGGCAGTCGTTGATTTCCTGAACGGACCGACAGTGTTGGATGTCGTGGTGCACCGATCGTCTCAGCTGTATTGCTTGGGGACACTGCGGTTCCGAGAGGAGCTGCATTAGGTCCTCCTTGCTCCAGGAGCGTGGGCGCACTGGTGGGGCCTTGTTTAGAGATGCAAACCGGATTAGAGGGAGGACGCCACTAAGTGGTACATGCCTGCCACCGGCTCGCCAGGCCGCTATGGTCATAGGGTCCCGGCCTGTCTGCCGTGCCAGGGGATGGGCCTGCGCAGAGCGGGTCAGCACATGGTCAATAAGACTTCGCTGTTCACCGCAGACATAGGTGGGTCCCGCGCGCCGGGACCAGGAGTTGAGGTGCAGGAGGTCATGGTCATCAAGGATGCGGGCAAGTCTGGGGGCATCAGCAGGGAGGCGGCTGTTCCATTTGGTAACAATGCGACCTGCACGCGGATGGGCAGCAAGTGGCGTGTTGAAATCTCCTAGGAGCAGCAATGTGTGTCTGGCGGGGAGGGTTTTAAGGGTGTGATCAAGCTTGTCCCAAACAGCATGACGGACCTGGGCGGCTGTTTGTGGCGGTGAGCTCTGGGAAACCGGCGCCTCGTCGGAGGTTTTGGTTGGAGAGCTCTGCCAGCTCATTGGACGTTGATAAACGACCAAGATGTCAAGGGCCCAGGCCATATGAGTCAAGCGGACATGAAGGAGACGGCCTGGGTAGGGTTCCGCCGTGGAAATGACACAGTCAGCAGAGAATGCCTTATGGACGAGGAGCAGCACTCCGGCGGCTTTGTAGCCGTTGCGATGCGAGCTGAGGACTCTCCACGGGCCTGTAACATAGTCAGAGTTACTCGTTTCGGCCCAGTGAGTCTCTTGGACTGCGACGACATGTGGTCGCCTGTCTGGTGCGAGTGCAGCCAGAGACAGGAGCAGTTCTTGGTAGACCTCGCTGGACAGGCCACCGCAGTTGAGACTAAGGAATCTAACATGGGGCCCCTTGGGGGCAGTGCCAGCCTTAGCTCGAGGCGCAGTGGTGGTGGTAGTCTGGTCCTGAGAGTAGTGCTGGGAGTGAAGCTGATGTAATGTTTGCCAGCGTCCACGGTAGCGGGTGCCTCCAGAACTGGAGGCCGCTGCTCGACGGATGGCTCGTTTGTAGGAGCGTTTCCTGGCCAAGCTGTATTGCCCGAGCGGGGCAGACACACGATCTGTCGGCTGGGCTCCAGGCAGGACGGTCGGGCAAGTGTGGACACCTGTGGGACAGCTACACAACCAGAGGCATGGCAGGAGGCGGGTGATTGGGCCTGCCAGATGGTATGTAGATCGATTCGGACGACGCGATGACTTTGGGCAAACTAGGGGCTGCTTGACAGTGCTCGAGAGAGGCTGCTGCAGCGGATGCCCTGTGCAGGTGAAACAATGACTGTGGTGACTCTGGGCTGGGACACGTGTGTCCGCCAGCGCCTCTTGGATGCAAGAACATAAAAAGTGTTGCTTCTCACGCCTAGGCTTCCCAGCAGACAGAGACTGACATGCTGGTCCTGAGAGTCCTCGGCTACGACTCTCGACCCTCGGTTCTGCTCCACCTGTTTTCTGGCAGCTCGAACTCGGAATAGGAGACGAAAAGGGTTGTCGAGGATGCCATCTGTTGGTGAAGCTTTGGGACTTGGGACCCAAATGGCTCGATTGGATCGGAACGTTGCTATGCAAATGTCGATGGCATCGCAGTTGCACACGTGAGCATAAAAGACCCCGATTGGAGAAGAGGTCTAGCCAAAGCCATCTTCTATACTGTGACCGCAAGTGCCCGGAGTATAGGGACAGCAGGGGTACGAGCTGACGGGGTTTTCGCCGGGCTCGGTAATTAGAATGACGACCAGGAAGGCGGACTACATAGCACCGGGCTCGCAGGGGTCTGGGTGTGTGCAGACGAAGAAGCAGGTGCAGTAGGTAGGCTCTGCGGTCACAGTGGCAGACTGGACTGTGACGTGGACTAGTCCATTTGCTCCAGCTGCAGGTTTGCGGTTGCTGCACAAGAGGAGGCAGGCTGCGAACGCTCAGGTGTACCTTCAGCCTGTAGGGCATAGTGCTCCTGCATACAGTAGAACAAGGCACAAGATCTGTAGGGTAAGTGCAACCTCCAATGGCCTTCCATGGGCCTATTTTGTTGTGCTGGTTCCATTTGAGAGGTCCCACAGGGTCCTGCCAACACACCGGAACGTTGAGACTCAGAGGGAGGTGGCATTCCCAGGGTGGTGACTGTTGTGCTCTGCGACGGAATAGCACGGGCCACATAGGACCTGGCGGTGGGAGCGCACGAAGTTCACACATGTAGGACCAGCATAGAAGGTTACAGGGGCCCGACTTGACACAGATGCGGCAGTGAGGTCCAGGCAGGGGGTCTCCAAGTGGTCCACTGTCCTGCGGGCGGTCGCTGCTGGTGAGGACAGCCTGTGCTGACGGAATGTGGACACATCCTGGTGCTTGAGGCAGACCTGGAGCGTGGAGGGGACACTGGCATTGTCTAGGGCACTCACGGCAAGGTGCTTGGTATCCGGCAGTGGGCATAGATTGGCCGTAGTACGCCGAGCACTTAAATCTCCGTGGGGGCTTACTGCCTGGGACTCGTCGACAGATGAAGCAGCTCGAGTCCGCTTGCTGTTGAAGGAGTACGTGTGGCCAGCCCTGCAGGTCATGAAACGTGTGAGATGAGCCAACATGTCTCGCGACACCAAGGGTGCCGAGCCGGTGGCCTCTTGCCAGTGGCGTAAGCAGACCTGTGAAGATGCTAGGAGCTAACTTGTGGAAAATGTGCCTGGGCAGCGGATCCTGCCTGTCGCAGTGGTAAGTGTGCAAACGCCGGCAAGATGCTGACGCCTTGTCGCCAGTTGGTCTGTTGGATCCTGGGCAGACGTCAAGGGATGAGTGGCGGTAGGCTTGCCAGGAGAGTACTGTATAGGGCAGAGACTCGCAACTTGCGTTTTGACCAGCCATGATCGGTGCACGATGGATCTGACGTGAAACCATGTCACAGACTGTGAGGACATCAGGCCATCTTTCCTTTGGCAGCACTAACCTGTAGGCCATGAAGAGTCTCTCCAGTCGTGCCAGCGGCTGCGCCGTGCCCTCGAGGGCATAAAGAAGGATGCGGTTGATGTCCTGGTAGAGCAGTCGCCAGCTATGGGACCAGGGCCGGTGGAGTCCCCAGCTATACCTGCCAGCCCTCCAGTTGCGGATGCCTGCCTTCTGGTCGGTCTCCACATTCCGCTGCGTGGCGATACGCCGGTAGAACCAGCCACGGAAAGGTGAGCGTTTGCCCATTGGTATCGGAAGTCGCCGGCCAAACTTGAGGCGATCACCAGACGGCCTAGCGAGCCAGCTTGTTCTGGGTCGGCGTCTGCGAACAGGTTGAAGCTCCGCCACTCGTGCCGTATCTTCTGGGAGTGGCGATGTGGTCGAGGCTGGAGTAGGGCAGGCATCAGGGATTGGGGCTGCCGTCCACATGCCTAGAGAAGGTTCATCCTCCACCACCACGGTGACCATGTCGTCCTCGGGTTCCATCGTGGCCGGCGGTGTCTGGGGCTGCTTCGCAGTCATGGTTGCCTCCGCAGCCTCCGTCTCAGCCGGTGTGCTTCGAGGCTGAGGGCGTCGTTTTGGCTTCGGTGGCAGCCTGGGCATCTTCTTCGGCTTGGGATGGAGATACGGGGATCTTGATCTTGGCCTAGATCTTGCAGGGGTCCGAGAAGTGCTTGCAGTGAGAGCACGAGCTCCATCCGGTCCTGTATGTGAGGATGCCCTTCCCCGTGTAGCACCGGTGCGGTTCACCCCCGGAGTCCGAGCCCGGCACGGCCGCTTCGCAGAGTAAAGTGTCAGAGGCGGGGCAGTATGCGGGCTAGAGCCACTCGCCACAGCAGATGGGTCCTGATCGTCACTGGCCAGTTGCTGAACCACTGCCCAGGCCTCATCCTCCTCTGCCCTGCGCTCCCGTTCGGCACGGGCAGCTCGACGCTCCTTCTGTCCCGGCTTATACCTCCATCGACCCTGTCTGGCATCCCATCCCATAGCTACCGATCCTAGGCAGTATTGGGAAAAATCAATCCGCATCGCCTGGCAGGCCTGTAACCTGAGGGTGGCTGAGTGCTGAAATAGTTGCTCGGGTAAGCTAAGACAAGGTTGGGGAGTTGAAAGGAGACAAGGACCCCAAATGATGCATCCTTGGGCCTGGCAGAGAGTCATCCGAGCAAGCAAAGGATCGCTACACCAAGGCAAGGCGAAGTCTGATGCAGCAAACAGCACGAACCAAGGAGGGGACCACATGCTTGGCGAGGGAACAGGCTGAGCAGAGCCTGGGAGGAAGCTACGGGACTTGCAGGGGCGTCTATCGGCACTAGACACGAGTGCCGGCCTGTAGGCACTGCAGGCAGAGGGGTGGAGGAAGTCGGGGCCTGACAGTTCAGCTATCATGAGACGTACACTCAGCACGTGCCATGCACTCTGGCTGAGGTTGTGGCGACCGCGAGCCGGCCATCCTGTGCACAGTGCAGAAAGCGGGTGCCGGGGCAGGTTAGAGATTGCAAAGGCCTGAGCCTTGCTGACCGGGTGCTCCCAGCCGCAGGCCTGTGTGTCGAATGCTATCCAACCCTGTGGGGTCCTATTAAGTGGGAGCGTCCCTGCCGAGAGCCGGCTGGCCTCCCAGGAGGAGGCAGCCGTACGGTCCGCCATGCTACCTCGGGGGGGTGGACACTTAGTAGGTGGGTGGGGTCCTTGGGTGCAGTGACAACAGAGGCTTACCTGCACAAGCAGCTGATTTTCATCTCCGTTCCGCTGGCCATGGATGTTACATGCGGTCAACCGGTGCGGTCCGTACCGTAATCTCGACAGAAAACGCCAGGTTGTGAGGCACGGTGACGATGAGGGTGCCCGGAAAGGGAGATGTCGCGCCAGCTGCACCTGAGGTTGTCGTGGTAGTCGTCGGGAGTCCTGTGGCAGGTCCGCGGCGCACATCATCCGTCCCTGGGCCCGATCGGAGTGCACCAAAAGCCGCAGCGGGTGTTCCTGGAGCAGGTCCTGGCAGATTAACCGGAGTCGGTGGCGGGGGGCCAGCAGGTGGGCTGCCCGGTCCCACCTTCGGTGCTGCCTTGGGTGGCACTGCAGAGGCCTTGGCCGTGGGATCGGGGCCATCTTCGTCTGTCGTGTTGAACAGATCTTCAATGGAGTCTGAGGTAGCGGTAGGCCATGTGGATGGCGCAGCCGTACGGGCCTTGGCACTTGCCCGAGTGGCGGTGGCCTCTGCGGCGGATCCACCTCTTTTCCGAGGCGCCATGTGTCCGGCTGAAGCTTGGAGAGGGGTACACACCGAGGGCCTATTGCGAAGCTTGAGCGGCCAGCTGTGCACGGGCAGGTCAAGATATTGCATGCAGCAGGGCAGCTTTCACCAGCTGTGCAGTTAGCAGAACAAGTGCTCTCGGGCCGTGACTCAGCTGGACGATCCCAGGGGCCCACACGCAGGCTTCGAGCACGAGGCTGCTGAAGTACAAGTGTGCACAGAAGCAACAGGGCATGCACCATCCTGCGGCCTACAGCCGTGTTTGGTTGGGGTTCCACGGGCCAGCTAGCGGGCTTACGTTCCAAAAAGCGGAGGCTCAGAGTTTCCGAGATCAACTGCTCCGCTGAGAGCCAAGAACCTTAGTAGTAGCAGTAGTAGTAGCAGCAGCAGTAGTAGTAGTAGTGGTAGTAGTAGTAGTAGTACGATTAATATCGTGTTGTGGCTCCCGCTTGGCACGCCGCTGACGGTTAATATAATAAATCTCATTGGTGAGGTTAGCATTACTGGGACCATTAGTACAACTAGTGTCACTAGCAGTACTACGGATATACAATTATCATTATATGCTGTTGTTCTATCCAATCATTGCGCAGTATATACATGGTATTTGTGTATATATGTATATATGTATATATGTATATATGTACATATGTATATATGTATATATGTATATATGTATATACAATTTGTATATATGTGTATATGTATATATGTATATGTGTACATATGTACATATGTACATATGTATATATGTATATATGTATATATGTATATATGTATATATGTATATATGTATATATGTATATATGTATATATGGATATATGTATATATGTATATATGTATATATGTACATATGTATATATGTATATATGTATATATGTATATATGTATATATGTATATGCATATATGTTTATATGTTTATATGTTTATATGTTTATATGTTTATATGTTTATATGTTTATATGTATATATGTTTATATGTATATACATGTATGTATGACTACGACTGTTATAAATAGTTTTTGTCATCATGATAGTTGTAGTAGCGAATTATCTCCAGGCAAGCAGCCCGGCCAGGGTCAGCTGGCAAAGGATGTTTGCCATGCCATAAAGAGCAAACTCCCGGGCACCCATGAGGAGCCCGGTGAGAACCATGGCGATGAACCTTCAGCTTTGGAGCTGTTGAGGTTTAAGGTTCATGAGATATGGCGCTTTCAGGTTAAGTTACAGGCTTTAAAATGTCTCAGGGCTCTTGGTGACGATGAACCACGACTGTGGGCTGGATTGTCGTTTCGGGCTCACGGCGCGCAAGGGTGTGGGGTTACTCCAGCTCAAGTCTTGGCCCAGGCTTCGAAGGGTCTAAGCCTAAGAATTTAGGTCCATGGGTTTCAGTAGTTGTCGACATGTTGATCTAGTGCTGGGAGCCGGGTCATAACTATAACAGCACCACAGCGCGCTGGTCTTGGCAACCCAAACGCCAAACCCCTATAAGTCTCCTATCAACTTTGCTCTCCCTAATCCCAAAGCCTTAACTAAACCCTAAGCCCTAAACCTCGCCCTCAGGGATCTGTGTTCAGGAAGGTTTTTGCTAACGCGTTTTTTTTTGCCTTCGGGGCTTACACGGCATGTATGGGCCCAAACAGGTGAGTTCCAGTATGCCCGAAAAAACTTCTTGGAGGTTCAGCGGTAGTTACAAGTGGGGTGAAAAGTAGGGTAACTATATACTTATAACCCATATTAGGGAACTTATAACCCCACTTATAACTACCCATAACCTCCAAGCAACCCGAAACCCAAAGCCCATGAAGCCCTGAACCCGAAACGGTAGGATCGCATCCGATCCCCCGAGCCCGGGTCCCGGAAAGCCCAAACGCCTGGCAAATCCCGGACCCTCTACGGTTCACCGGTGTTTCGGGTAGCCGTCTCGCTGGGATTCGGGTTGCAGTTTCTGGTTTTTTTGACACTCACACTCGGACAAGCCTGGCAAGGTCTGCGGGTTTAGGGTTGGAAGAATGGGGTTCCAGCCGCAAAACAAGATTTCTAGAGGATTGCAAGAAGGCCCCAAAACACCTTCGCAAAGCCCCTCTAATAGTCTAAAGCGCTGCGGGACCTGATAGACTTCCAAAACGGGTCAAAACAAGCCTTCAAACCCCGAACACCTCCATAGACCCTCTTCGAACCAGAACTATTGCTTCCTGTTCTATATCCCGCACCCTGAACCCGATCCTCATAAAACCCGATGTGGGGCTGGAAGGGCCAGGACCAGGAAATGAGCAGCCACAGGCCCCGAGCTGTGGCCACCACCTGCTCAAGGTAAAAGCGGTTTCGGGGTGTCGGGTTTAAGGACTAAGGGCTTCGGGTTTCGGGTTTTTTTTGCTAGGGCACTGCTCGCACCTGTTTTGCGCGCTTCGGCACCGGCTCAAAACAGGGATCTCGCACCAACCGTGTTGTGACTCTGTAACGTTCGTGAGGATTCTGGCTAGTTGCGGTGTGGTCCGTTTTTTGGGCAAAGTGCCTTCGGGTTGTGATGTCAATCAAATATGGAAATTGCATGCCCCGGCGACGTCCCCGAGCGACTATCCTGTCTTTAAATGCCGAACAAAAGATGCGGCCATGGGTAGGGTGTGTTCGGTCTTGCTTAAAGACTTTGATGAGTGTTCGATACTGGTTCCAGTTGAGGGTTTGCGAGGCAGGTACAGGCTTACCGGCTTGAATCCATACTTCGCGATTGGTGATCCTGGAGTAGTACGAGGCCTTCACACCGATGCTGCGCCTCAAGATTCTGTAGTATTGCCCGTCTATTTTCTTGAGGAGCTTATCTGTCAGCGCTAAGGAATCTAACCCATAAAGGAGTATCGCCACTATGTCTGAATGATAAATGCGGACTTTGGTGGATCTTGGAAGCGAGCTATTCCAGACCTGTCTAAGCTTCTTGACGGCTTCTTCTGTAAGACCAATTCTGTGATAAAATGCGGTGTGAAAAGGATTGTCCCAGCTTATTCGGGACGCTAGGTACTTTACTTGCGTGCCCGTGGGTGCAGCGGATCCATCTAGGAACTTGAGCGCCGTGTGGTCTGATTTGGGGCGCTCCAGAACTTCTGTTCTAGTGTGTTTCAACTTCATACCATATTTCTGAGCTACCGACTCTAATGCGCTAAGCATGGGTTGTAGTTGAGGGGGTCGCCAGCGCCATAAGAGCGTGTCGTCAGGATACTCTAGGTCATACACCGGATATCCTTCGGACCATGTATTGAAATATTAGGGACGCCTTGGGTTTGTAAGGTGTGGTCGGTGTCACGCAGCATGACTGTTAAGACCACAACAAACAAATACGGGCTTAAGGGGCAGCCCTGCCTGATGCCAGCCGAAACTGTACCTTCCGCCAGTGAAACCCTGCACCGCGAATCTGGGTGACTTACGGCTTGACGATATTAGCTGCATCACAACGTCTGAGAGCCCAAATCTTCGAAGTGCCTCAAGCATTGCGGCGTGGTCAATAGAGTCGAATGCTTCTTTCCTGAATGACCACTCCATTGCTCTGCGCAAGCTGAACAGTGGCTGTTTTGTACTGAGGTGTGGTCTGAACCCGAACTGGGTGTCTCTGTCTCTGAGTTTATTGTCGAACTGAGTTGCAAATCGTTTTTGAAGCATAGCTGCCAGTACTTTGTATGACGTGGTCAGAAACGAGATAGGACGATAGTTTTCCGCTTCCGTGTCTGCACCCTTTTGATTGAAAATGGAAACAATTTAAGGGCAGCCTCGACCTGAACCCCCATTAGGCATCGATACTCAAACCCTCAAACCATGGCTCAGCGCACGACGACCAAGCGGGCACGCACCACAGAAGCCACAATGCGTGGCTGGCGAGGCCATGTATACACCTCGAGACCGGCGGTGCAGCAGACCGCCAGCGCAAGCGCACGGTCAGCCGCGCGACTCGCCGCCTCCCGAGAGCCGTGCCGGTGGATGTGCCTCCACCTTGAAAGTCTGTCTTGCAGACGTAGGAAACGTCGGAGCATCGAAAACGTCTTCACCCCAAATTGCCAGCAACCGTTGTCGTGCCTCCAAAAGAGCAGCCACGGCGTTCGCCTGCCGCTCAATGGAAGCCTGGCGATAGAGGACTCTTTGCCTCGCTGGTCCGCAGGTTCCTCGAAAATCGTTGGGAGGCGCGCCATCTGAATCTACCGTTTCTGTTGCTACGGAGAACCTGAACTTTTCAATCCTTCGCAGCTTGAGCCAAACTGGCTACGGTTTAGGGTTTAGGGTTTTCGGGTTTAGGGATTAAGGGCTTCGGGTCTAAGGCTTCTAGTTTAGGGCCGTAGGTTGTTTGAAGAAGACGGACGGACTGGGCGAGGATTTTTGGCCTCCCGCCTGGCTAGGACGAAGATTTGTCAGGCTCTGTCGAGTGTTTAATCGGGGATTACCAGGCTTTCTAGCAAGAGTTCTACAGGGGTTTCATAGGGCATGGTAACCCTTACAGAAACCTCTGTGGTAACCGTAAATGCCCCAATTCTTCAGGGAACCCATAGTCGTTTTGGGACAAAGCAAGTCGAAACAGACAACCACGGCGGCAGCGAAGTGAGCTTCGGGCTTGGGGTATAACCTGATAACAGCGTCAAGCCTAATGAAGGCGAAGTGTACCTCGAAAGGGAAAAGAGAAGACGAAGCTTTGGGGTCTTACTACATGGAAGTTTTTACCTCCTGCATAGCCAAGTCACAAAGAAATCACGCTGGGTTTGGGGTCAAAACAAGTATAAGTATGTGGCGACCCTGGGGCAATAATATTTCAAATCAAGACAGGCGAGGCTTCACGGCGACTGCTACAACTCAGTCCAGGACTGCACACACCATACAGTCCATTCACTCATAGCTCCCACAACGCCTGTCACAAGACAAGCTGCAGATCCCGCAAGACGTGCAGAACAGCCTTTTCCTGTGGTGCAAAGAGCAGGGATTTTACCATCCCATCTCGAGACGTGGCCTTGAGCAAGTCTAAACCGTTGCTTGCTTGTTGATCTTCCACTTATGTCCCTGTTTTATTTATCCGGTTCTATCCTATCGTGCCCTACCCTATCCTAAGCCCTTAAAACGACGGCCTGCAAGCAAGGTGGAGCTGTGACCTCAAAGGAAGTCCGTCCGCACACAAATCGATTTTGTCGTGCGGACGCTGAACCTAGAAGCCTAGCTCCGTGCCGTCACAAAGGAAGTCTGGCCGCGCACGCTGCGAGCCTGTTTTGCGGACGCTGAATCCTCCTTCAACATCCGTGATGTGTACACGACTTCGATCCGGAATGCAGGCGTTGTAATCGTCATTCAAGGTGTAGATGCATCGATATGTCTTTCCGTCTCGGCGAAGGTTCTTCGAAGGCACGATGGGTACGTCATCAGGCTCGAGAGTCTTGATCTTCGTCTGGTTGAGGTCCAACATAATTTTTAGTGCATGCTCCGGGTTGCAGCGTCGCGGTACACTCGACACCATGAGCTGGTGAATCTCATCGAAGCGATGGCGCACCATGTCCAGAGAAAGGGCAAAGTAATGCTGAGCTGTTCCTCGTCCCACCATCAAGGCAAACTTGTCGTTGACGCCACCAAAGCTGCCACAAGCCGGAGCATAAAGCCCTGATTCGTCCAGCAAGTCGAGGCGTGGCACGAATGGCTCCAAGACAGCACTGTCGTCCCGCAACCTCAACGTGTAGTTCGCGTGACTCACGGGGCTGATCAGGAGCTGGCCGCAGCGCTCTAGGGCCTCCCACTGCCGCATGTGTGACTGCGCCCTGTGGCTGGCATACCCAAAGCCCATCTCAGGTAACTGACTGTACAAGTCCTCAACATACCGCGCATCCACGGGATAGTCATGCGGGATGAACGCATCGCCAAGCAGCGTGATGCCGCTCGGGAACATCTCGGCTGCCTGCTGCAGGCTTGAGAAATTGCCGTCCACCACGACGAAGTCGTCAAACAACTCTCCTGGAACCAAGAAGCTTTTCAGCGGTGCTGTGTGATGCCGTTTTTGCGTTGTGTGTGTGTGCCGTAAGTCGACCGACCGATCAACGGAGTGCCTGACTGCCCGGCGGGAGTGTGAACCGACTGACTGACTGAGCCACGGACGGATGGTCTGAGAATCCACGGTCAGAGCTTCTAGGGAAAGCTACACTACACCAAACACACCTGCAAACACAACAAACGCATGCAAAAAGAACCCCGCACCCTCTCCTGCACCACGGTGGATGTAGGAAGCTGTGGCACGTGGGTCCAAGACGAGAGCTACAACGACCCGGAAGTTGCTTTCCTGGGCTTTGAAGCAACCAACGAAAAAGATACAAACTTGCCGTTCCATAATGGTTCCTCCAAAAATCCATCCTAAAGTATCTGAGCCCTAACCCTAAACCCCTTTTTGCAACAGGCTTCGACTTAACCCTAAACCCCTAAACCCTATAAACCCTCACTCCCTAAGCTCCCTCAAGGACGCTACTCCAGAGCCCAGTTGCCATGAGAGGCCGAATAAGGCGCTCGACCTTCGTCTTCAGCTCGAGCCGGCGTATTTGCCCCGTGATACCTCGGCTTTGAGGATCTAGGGCCTAAGGGCTTTAGGGCTTTAGGGTTCAGGATTCGGGGGGTCTTTGGGGCTTTAGGGTTCAGAGTATAGGAATTGGGGCCTTGAGGGCTTGGGATTTGGGGATTTGGGGATTTAGGGTTGAGCTTCGGCGAGGTCAGGCTTGGGTCTATACCAGCGTCTCTTTTTGGTGGCCCTTCAAAGCCTCGGACAAATTATGTAGCTATGTGTAAGTCAGCAAAGTACTTCTTTGTAAGATCCCTCTAAGACTCTAAGGCCAGCACGGGAAAATCTAAAAAGATCCCAAAGGCCTACCGAGACACAAATGGCGAAGTCCTTCTTGGCCTCGTCACCCCAGCGCTGATCGCTCACGCGCGGGAAGAGTGGCGGAAACTCCGGTCGCCCTTTGCCAAGGAAATCTGACAATGCCGGAACATCAAGCGTTGAACCATCGAAAACGTTGATCTCAGTCAGCTTCTCTGGTGGCACGATGCAGCGCACAAGCCGATTGTGCGCCTCGTAGAGGCGGACCGCCATCTCCGGACTCATTGGGGCGAGTTTCATGCCGCAAGGGCTGTGGAGCGGGGCGACCATGGTCTCATCCCACTGCAGCCGTGCTTTCACCCAGTCCACTGCATTGCGGTTGGTGAGGATGACCTTGGACTGCGGTGACACGGCATAGAAGTCAAGGAAATGCTCCGCCATCGGGGTGTCCAAGAGTAGGTCGTTGCCCTGGTCGAAGGCCTCGGAAAAGTTCACGACATCCAGGGTGGAAAGGCAGCCATCCAGGCCCTTAGGGTCCACCATGCTCGTGATGTTCATCAGCCGCATCCAGAACTCTGGGATTTCTTCTCTTTTCCCCTGCTTGCAGTGGTGCACATCGAGCCCGAGCTGGCGAGCAAAAGCTGCCAGGGAGCGCGTCGCGGTGGTTCCAAAGCCTGCGCCCAAGATGACCGAGCCATCCAAGCGGGCCTTGCCTGTACCTCCGAAGCGTCTTTGCTCGAGATGCCGGGAGAAACCAGGAAGGTCGGCATCTACGCTTGCACCATATTGCGAGATGCACTGCCACTGTGCAGGAGAGAAAGGCGAATCCCTCGGCTCGATGACGGCTTTGCCGGTATCTGCGCGCTGCTGTATGAGGCATGAGGCCTGACCTGCATTGGCCGCCACATCAGCATTCGCATCTCCAACCTGATGATGACAATCTTGCCCGATCACATTCGCGACCAGGAGGTTCACATGGAAGATAAGAAGCTGTGCCGTCAACGGCATAGCTCGCGGTTTCATGAAAGAGTCGGGGTAAGTTTGAACCATGGACAGCTAAAGCCAGGCAACCTATAAGTTGAGGGTTTGTCGTTTCGGATAAACTATACAAGCTCCCTTCAGACCCTTCCCCCAATCCAAACAGCCCGAAGACGCTGCAAAGCTCACAGCCACTGCAAACGAGCACACCGAGTCCTACAGAGCCTCGCCTCGTAAACCCAATCTGGCTTAGCACTAGTCGTAGAAGCAGGCAGCAGTAGTAGCAATGGCAATAGCAACAGTAACAGTAACAGTAACGGCAACGGTAAATGTCTCAGTAACAGCACCAGCGCCAGCAGCAGGAGCAGGTGCAGGATCAGGAGCAGCAGGAGCAGCACTAATAGTTCCCTTTGTCAACTCCTCACCTCGGTGGCAGAGGGGAGGAGGTCGCAGCCCGGATTCTCCAGCTGTGCCTTCTCGGGGCACCGGTTGGGTGTTGCGGCCTCTTGTGGGGGTTTGTTAGGGTATAGGGATTGTGTGCTTATCTCGGCATCTTCTAGGGTTTGGCATCGATGGCTTCGGGGATTCGGGATTCAGTACGATGCCTTATCAATCAGAGTACGGTGTTGGGGTAGAGTACGCTGTCGTTATTATGGGAAACAGGGGTTAACCTTTGGGAGTACATTGGGTTATATGGGGATGACAGTACCCCAAAAAAGGCTCAAGGTTATCCACTCTACTACTAGGTTCAGTCTTATTCATTCTGAGAGGTTCGGGAATTTGGTGACTTTCGGGAGTCAGGTTTTGCCATTTCGACTCTTTATCTCAGAGACTGGGCACTGCCAGCAGCTTAGGCTTTGAGAGCCCTGGGGGCCCTAAAGCGATGGAGCTGGGTTTCGGAGCATTTTATACGTTGGCAACGAAAAGGCTCTTAAGGTGGATAGAATCCCCTGGATACAGGTTTGCCCGTAATGGTTTCAGTAGACCAGGGCCGTTTGCCGTGGCAGTGGAAGTAGCAATAACCGTTGTAGTCGCAGTCGTTGTAGTAGTAGTAGTAGTTGCTTGATGTCACATAGCAGTCGTAGTAGTGCTAGCAATGGTAGTCGACCAATATACGAGTACCTTTCCTATTTCAAGTGTGCTTTCATTGTCGTCATTATTGTCCCAGTTACTTTTAGTGTTATTGATACTAACATCATATATACATATACATAAACAAATAACTTTCGAACAACCCCTTCCCCCAATTATTCAAACCCGCTCTCCGCCACCCCCGCCCCCCGGCCGATGGCACAACCCGAGTTTGCGTGAAATGGGTTTGTGTCCTCGGGGTCCTCTCAAGTTTCTTGTGTGCTGCTCAGGGAAGGGGTTGTTGCAAGAAAGGCTGCTGTTTGGAAGCCAAGCTCTGTAAGGCCCTGCCATCCTCTTACATCGTGCTAGGATGGCTTTCAAAAAATCGACATGTAAAATCCGAAATGCCTAATTAACACAGAATCCGATAAGCGCCAAACTGGGTCCCAAGCCCTTGCAGCCTTAGTCTTAAACTCACGACCGCGAAAGTTCCGCCTGCGCTGAACCTGGGGCAAGAAGCACTTCGATGGCCGCGGGCCAGTATGCAAGCAGCGTCATTCTTGGCTCCGTGGTGGCTGGGTGCTTTCGTGTTTCAATAACAACTCCAATCAAAAAAAGAGGGCTGGGGCCAAAGTTTTAGAAAAGTCAGGTGATGGGTTGGTGGGGTTTTGTTCCATATGGAAACGTATACGATTGAGGTTTCTGGGGATCGTTGTGGTGCAGAACTTAACTACTACAGGAGCATTAACAATCAGAACAGGGTTTTGGTTTTCTAATACAACAACCCACAACTGTATTTATCATGGGAACCTTATAAGAAGCATTGGCAATTGTTCGGGCTTACATACAACTGTTTCTTGTGCGCCGGCTGATCCCCTAAACCCGCGCAAAATTCCTAAACCCTAAAGGACCAAGTTCGGCTAGGAGACAAGCTGGCGCCCACGATGCCGCAGGCGAGGCCGCCAAACCTGCATTCAGGAACTTTGTCAGTTGAGTTGCAGTGCTCTCCCTGAACACTACTATAGGCCCTTATCTAATTATAGCATATTGGGCCCCAAAACCCTATTCAATTATTAAGGCTCCTATACTAGACATCATACAACCGTGCGATCGAGAACGGCATCGACCAAGCCACACGAAGCCACCCGAAGACCAATTCAAAACTGTGCTGAATTGCACTTGGCCGCACACCCAGCAGGAATATAGACCTCACAGCGGAGAAGTCGCCGACACCCATGGCATGGGTTATCTTCACCATGGTGGTGTCCTCAAGAAACCTTGGCAGCTCTGATGCGAATGCCAAGGATAGTCGCCGCAATCGCCGTGGTCCCAAGGCATGCTTACGTCAGCGTGGGCGGCAGCAAGAAAACGACACAGCAAGAATAAGAAGAATAACAGCAGCAAAAGCACAACAGCACCGCAGCAGCAGCAGCAGCAGCAGCACCAGCAGCCCCAACAACAGCATTCCTGTCTCGTTGTGGACCAATTCGCCTGCTGTGCGTCTGCTGCTGCCATCTCTGACATCTACGACCCCAACATGATGATCACCGCCTAACGAACTATGCTAGTTGGGCCGGAAGGAAGCAAGAGCACGTTAAAGGCGCACAGACAGGCGGCTGGAAGATGTCTTTCATCGGGGTCAGAAAGGCGGTAGCTGCCAGCATGGAATTCCTCCAACACGCAACGGACAGCTCAGGATTGGGATTCTGCTTGCGTCCCGACCAGCTTGCTCGCGTTTGTTTGGAGCTAAGGATTGAGCGTTTGCGCCGCTGTGCTTAGGGGTTCAGAAGTGGGGAAGAGACTGCAAGGGAACCCGCAAGAATGGACCCGGAGAGTTGGGTCGACACAATCTGCACCATATGTGCGTATATATATATATATATATATATATGCATATACACATACATATCTATATGTGTATAATATGGATCATATGGGTTTCGGGTTTAGGCATTTGTGCTTTCGCGGAATGGAAAGCCCGTATCAGCTCCAGCGGCAGACAACATCAAGAGGCACGTTTCAGCAGCTACGTACGTGATCCAAGCACTTCATTCTGGCAAGCTTCGTCACTCACTCTCTTGACAGCACAGTTCGCAAACCCGCCAAAAACACACAGCCCTCCTCTTCGAGAGGATCTTGTCATATAGGTGATTTTTTGTGGACTTTTTTCGTGAAGTCCCTTCAGTCTTTGGGTTTGTTGGCAGCTTTGGCCTTAAGAAAAGGGAAGCTCCTCTCCGGCACGGGCAGGGCTAGCTGAGTGCTCTGGGCCATGGCGATGCCAACCACAGTGGAGGCGATCCTAACCCGGGCGATGAAGGCGCTTAGGGTAGGGTATGGGGCTTAATGGGCTTAGGGTTTCGGGTTTTGGGGTTTTGGGGTGCGGCGGTTTAGGGTTTTGGCGTTTGGGGTTTTAGGGTTTAGAGGTATTCGGGTAGGGTATGGCATTTTGGAGTTAGGACTGGTATAAGGCCTTAAATCCTTAGAGCCTTAGAACAGACAGTGTATAGGGAGTTCAGAGGGGGCCTGTAATACGTCTAATAGGAAGTATATATGGACGGTTCTAATAAGCCTCGGATTCCGGTGTAGTAGTCTTTCGGGCAGTAGATGACAAAAACAACCATGAGAGTCATCCAGCCCTCGGCCCAAAATTTCGGGCTGCAGGACTTTTATCTGCTAAAAATTACAGACCCTTGCGGAGTACCAAGTTCAGGAGGAGGCCCCCAGGCTCACTTGTGTCAGGTACAAGGAACAGGCTGGGGGAACGGGTTGAGTGCGTTACTCAGGCGAGTGGGTCCGACGTCGTACATAGTGATAAGAACAACAACAAAATAACAAAAATAACGGCAATCACAATAACACTAATCACTCATGCCACCTGCAATAATGATACATGACCATCAGCATGGTACCCAGAACCTGAACCAATGGCAACTCCACAAAAAGTAGTCATCCTGACTATCATCATACTCACGATCGGTTGCACGGTGCCCAAGCTGACTGGTTTCCTAACACATAAAGCCATAAACCCTAGGCCTTAGGCCTGGAGCTCCAAGCCCGAAACCAAGGGTAAAGCCGGGTGGGAGGTTCCGAAAATTAGGGATGCCTTATTTTGGGGTCCTTATAATAAGGATCCTACTATTTAGGGTACTATATTAGGGTCCCCCATTTTCCGAAACTCTAAACCCTAAACCCCTTTAGAGATCCCTTACAGGAACCCTTATGGTACCCTTTAAAGGAACCCTAAGGGTTCCCTATTTTCGGAGACTCCCGGGTTCAAAGAGCGAACTGCAGGGCGCTGTCGACGCTGGAGTCTTAGGGGCTCTGCATGACCATCAAGTCGCACACCCAAGTAGACGCCCAGCAGGTTCAGATGCTCTGGGACGCCGCTCCTGGGCAGTTCTCATAGTTTTTAGGGTGTTTTGGATAGGTTCAGGTGTAGGGTTCAGGGTTACGGGCTCCTGGATTCAAGTCTTATGGCATGACACTCGTACTGCTACCGCTGCCTTGGCAGATCGGACGACATCAATACAGTTGTGGGGTTGGCCTCCACCTGCAAGCAACAGCCTTATCATCCCCCCCACATGAACGGCTTGATAGTTTTATGCGGCTTCAGGCTCAGGTATTGTGCACCAGTGCTCCTAACTACTTGGTATTGCTCGGTCCACTGCTAGCACGAACAGCAGAACATTAAGCAGCACGGCAAGAACAATAACTATACTTGTTTGCCCAAATTCGTGTCAAGCCACACGAGCCTCCGAACGTCAGCGACACAATTGGTCGGAAGTGAACCACGATAAAAGCACGCACAGGACTCTGCAAACGCTAACTGTTTATAACCTAAAACCCTTAGGCATGAATCTTATTATAAACCCAGACCAAACCCTCGTAAACCTGCAGCTTCAAGCAGCCCAGAAAAACCTAAAAAGAGCTCAACCCTGATTGAGCCCTGCAGCGTAAACATGGCATGAACTGTTGCGCTCTCAAGCCGTTAAGCCCTTCCTCAACCCCAGGAGGCCCGAACCAGAAGCCCTAAATTCCTAAATTCAAGGCGTTGTGGCCTTGGTCAGAACTCGTGCCACACCCACCCTAGACTTCACAAAAGCCTGACCTTCAACCCTGGAGGCCCTAAACCCCGAAATCCCGATCCCTAACCTCAAACTCTCTCTCTCTCTCTCTCTCTCTCTGAACCCTATTAGAGGAGCATACAGGAACCGAAAATAGGGGACCCTGATATAGTTTTTACCCTAAATAGTAGGATCCTTACTTTAAGGACCCCACAATAAGGTACCCCGAATTTTCGGAAACTCCCATCTTTGTCCACCTTGCACCGGGACACGGAGGCCGGGGCACAGGCACGGTGCGCTCGGACTCTGCCCCAGGGCGCACGGTGCGCACCCAGCGTTGGAGCCAGATCTGTTGGTCTTAGGGTTTCAGGGTTTAGGGGTCGGGTTTGGGGTTTGGGGCTGTTTGTTACAATGCTTACAATTGCCTGCTGCCTATATTCCTTGATATACTCATGTAAATATATTTGTAGGCTAACTATCTGTAGGCGCTACTCTGGGGGGGCGCCACCCAGCTGGGGCGAACTTCGGCGAACCCCCCCGCAGGTGCGACGAACTTCGACGAAGGGTTGGGGGGTTCGAGGGGGGTTCGTGGCGACTCGGGCGAGGGGGAACGAGCGATGTTCGTGGGCTCGAGCAAGAAGATGTTGCCCATCATGTAGTCGCAGAAGCCCTGACAGCAGAAAATGACACTCGGGCGATACAAGGGAGAATGGAATATGGTGGCAAAGGGAAACTACGGGCCTCTGAGTCAAAAATGGATGTCAGGTTTGATAATTATTTCATTAATCTGCGAAGATCGCACACCGCAGTTTGATGCCTCCCAAAAATTGCACCAAGTTAACACATTGAATAACATGCAATCATTCCTGGACGTTGTGTTTATTGATTAAAGGGCTCCGGGTTTAAGTCTAGGGTTTAGGTTCATTCAGGGGTCAACTCCCTTCAGGCCTGGTCTTCGTTTCAGGGTTTGGGCTTAAGTGTTATGTAATAGTTGTAGGGCGAGTATTTCAGAGTGGAGGGCTTAAGGCCTAGGGTTCAGGCCCACGGGGCTTAGGGCCTAGGGTTCAGGCACACGTTTAGGGTCAAATGTCCGGGGTCGGGTTTCGGCGCTCAGATTTGGAGAAGTCTAACTCATCAAGGGGTTGGAAAGTTAGCAGTCATGAGGTTAAGTCAAATTAGAGCTTCAGGGTTGTGCTTTCGGACTTCCATGTCAGGGTTAGGATTTTAGGGTCTAGGGTCCGAAACCGAAAGGGCTCTGGGGTCGGAGGGCTTTCTGGCTGCTGTATCTCCTGCCACGGCGGGACAGAGCCAGAAAGAACCTCCTGTTGGGGCCCCAACAGGCTCATGCAGCTTCCTTGTTCTGAAAAGAACAAGGAAACTTTTGGGGTTTGGGGCTTAACTTGATTATTTGAGAGAGAGAGGGAGAGAGAGAGAGAGAGACAGAGCGTCGGTCTCGATGTCCTTGTCAGTCGGTGTCGATGTCCTTGTCCTTGTGCCGGCAGGCCTCATGCAAAGTCTTGAGTGCGCCGGATCTGTGCTGAGTGATGACCTAACGGACAGAGGCTCGAGCAGTCAGAAGAGCCTTGTGTGCACTCGTCTTCTGGAGCCGTCTGCTTCTGGAGTGGAGCGAGCCGCTTCTGTGTTGCCAGGCTTCTCCAATATGCGACAAAGTGCTTCAGAAGTTCAGGGCTCGAGACTCGAGAGTCCTTCAACCGCAGGACATTCATTGTGATGTCACCTGTCCGAGTGGAGACCCGCTTGATGACGGAGACGTCGAGGCACGCTTGGAAGCGTCGCAATGGCGCCCGACACATGTTCTGGGGCCAAGCCACCAAAGACGAATTTGCTGGCACCAGTCTGACACTACTACTACTTACTAGTACTAGTACTGCCACTACTACCACTACTACTACTACTACTACTACTACTACTACTACTACTACTACTACTCTTCCTCTTCTACTAGCACTGGTACTCGGATTACTAACTCGGACGGGAAATGCTTCTTCGAATACTACTGCTACTTACTAGAACTGAACCTGAGAGAAAGACAACATCCGGCTTGCGGCTTAACTAGAAACCGTTGAAGCTTTAAGGCCTGAGGTTTAAGTAGGTAAAGCTAAACCCCAAACCCCGAACCTTAATAATGTGGGCGACGAAGCTGCTTCAAGGTCTACGGATCTATTTCGCATGCATTAGAGAGTGGTCACCCAAAAATCAAACTTGTCGGGTACTCGGGCATGTCTTAAGAAACTGTGCGGGTGCTGTGACGGGATGAACTAGAAATCCTACTGGGGCTGCCTGATCCGTAATCTAATATCTATTAAGAGCCACCTGGCCCCACCTGGCAGCAGGAATCTGTTCGGCGAAGCGCCTCTGTGCAAGAAGCCGCAGGACAACACATGGAGCGAAATGTACCAAACGCCGCAGGCGACCCAACAATAGCTCGGACGCAGGCGGGCCAAATGTCGTGTAAAAGGCCAGAATCACTGGGCATGTTTGCTATGGGCGGCATGTGACGCGAGCAGGGTTAATTAATTGTAATAATTAGGCTCTGGGTGTTCAGGGAAATGAAGCATGATTAGGCAAGTGCCGCATGC